CAATCATCCCCAGGCACCACTAATCAGAATGTCCCACAATCATCCCAAGTCATCACTAATCAGAATGTCCCACAATCATCCCAAGTCACCACTAATCAGAATGTCCCACAATCATCCCAAGTCATCACTAATCAGAATGTCCCACAATCATCCCCAGGCACCACTAATCAGAATGTCCCACAATCATCCCAAGTCACCACTAATCAGAATGTCCCACAATCATCCCCAGGCACCACTAATCAGAATGTCCCACAATCATCCCAAGTCACCACTAATCAGAATGTCCCACAATCATCCCCAGGCACCACTAATCAGAATGTCCCACAATCATCCCCAGGCACCACTAATCAGAATGTCCCACAATCATCCCAAGTCACCACTAATCAGAATGTCTAACAATCATCCCCAGGCACCACTAATCAGAATGTCCCACAATCATCCCAAGTCACCACTAATCAGAATGTCCCACAATCATCCCAAGTCATCACTAATCAGAATGTCTAACAATCATCCCCAGGCACCACTAATCAGAATGTCCCACAATCATCCCAAGTCACCACTAATCAGAATGTCCCACAATCATCCCAAGTCACCACTAATCAGAATGTCCCACAATCATCCCCAGTCACCACTAATCAGAATGTCCCACAATCATCCCCAGGCACTACTAATCAGAATGTCTAACAATCGTCCCAAGTCACCACTAATCAGAATGTCTAACAATCGTCCCAAGTCACCACTAATCAGAATGTCGCACAATCATCCCAAGTCACCACTAATCAGAATGTCTAACAATCGTCCCAAGTCACCACTAATCAGAATGTCTAACAATCATCCCCAGGCACCACTAATCAGAATGTCCCACAATCATCCCCAGGCACCACTAATCAGAATGTCCCACAATCATCCCAAGTCACCACTAATCAGAATGTCCCACAATCATCCCAAGTCATCACTAATCAGAATATCCCTCAATCATCCCAAGTCACCACTAATCAGAATGTCCCACAATCATCCCAAGTCACCACTAATCAGAATGTCCCACAATCATCCCAAATCACCACTAATCAGAATGTCCCACAATCATCCCAAGTCACCACTAATCAGAATGTCCCACAATCATCCCAAGTCACCACTAATCAGAATGTCCCACAATCATCCCCAGGCACCACTAATCAGAATGTCCCACAATCATCCCAAGTCACCACTAATCAGAATGTCTAACAATCGTCCCAAGTCATCACTAATCAGAATGTCCCACAATCATCCCCAGGCACCACTAATCAGAATGTCTAACAATCATCCCAAGTCACCACTAATCAGAATGTCCCACAATCATCCCCAGGCACCACTAATCAGAATGTCTAACAATCATCCCAAGTCACCACTAATCAGAATGTCCCACAATCATCCCCAGGCACCACTAATCAGAATGTCCCTCAATCATCCCCAGGCACCACTAATCAGAATGTCCCACAATCATCCCCAGGCACCACTAATCAGAATGTCTAACAATCGTCCCAAGTCACCACTAATCAGAATGTCCCACAATCATCCCAAGTCACCACTAATCAGAATGTCTAACAATCATCCCCAGGCACCACTAATCAGAATGTCTAACAATCGTCCCAAGTCACCACTAATCAGAATGTCCCACAATCATCCCAAGTCACCACTAATCAGAATGTCTAACAATCATCCCAAGTCACCACTAATCAGAATGTCCCACAATCATCCCAAGTCACCACTAATCAGAATGTCTAACAATCATCCCAAGTCACCACTAATCAGAATGTCCCACAATCGTCCCAAGTCACCACTAATCAGAATGTCTAACAATCATCCCAAGTCACCACTAATCAGAATGTCGCACAATCATCCCCAGGCACCACTAATCAGAATGTCTAACAATCGTCCCAAGTCACCACTAATCAGAATGTCCCACAATCATCCCAAGTCACCACTAATCAGAATGTCCCACAATCATCCCAAGTCACCACTAATCAGAATGTCTAACAATCGTCCCAAGTCACCACTAATCAGAATGTCGCACAATCATCCCCAGGCACCACTAATCAGAATGTCTAACAATCGTCCCAAGTCACCACTAATCAGAATGTCCCACAATCATCCCAAGTCACCACTAATCAGAATGTCCCACAATCATCCCAAGTCACCACTAATCAGAATGTCCCACAATCATCCCAAGTCACCACTAATCAGAATGTCCCACAATCATCCCAAGTCACCACTAATCAGAATGTCCCACAATCATCCCAAGTCACCACTAATCAGAATGTCCCACAATCATCCCAAGTCACCACTAATCAGAATGTCTAACAATCGTCCCAAGTCACCACTAATCAGAATGTCCCACAATCATCCCCAGGCACCACTAATCAGAATGTCTAACAATCATCCCAAGTCACCACTAATCAGAATGTCCCACAATCATCCCAAGTCACCACTAATCAGAATGTCCCACAATCATCCCAAGTCACCACTAATCAGAATGTCCCACAATCATCCCAAGTCACCACTAATCAGAATGTCTAACAATCATCCCAAGTCACCACTAATCAGAATGTCTAACAATCATCCCAAGTCACCACTAATCAGAATGTCCCACAATCATCCCCAGGCACCACTAATCAGAATGTCCCACAATCATCCCAAGTCACCACTAATCAGAATGTCCCACAATCATCCCAAGTCACCACTAATCAGAATGTCTAACAATCATCCCCAGTCACCACTAATCAGAATGTCCCACAATCATCCCCAGGCACCACTAATCAGAATGTCTAACAATCGTCCCAAGTCACCACTAATCAGAATGTCTAACAATCATCCCCAGTCACCACTAATCAGAATGTCTAACAATCGTCCCAAGTCATCACTAATCAGAATGTCTAACAATCATCCCCAGGCACCACTAATCAGAATGTCTAACAATCGTCCCAAGTCATCACTAATCAGAATGTCTAACAATCGTCCCAAGTCACCACTAATCAGAATGTCTAACAATCGTCCCAAGTCATCACTAATCAGAATGTCTAACAATCATCCCCAGGCACCACTAATCAGAATGTCTAACAATCGTCCCAAGTCATCACTAATCAGAATGTCTAACAATCGTCCCAAGTCATCACTAATCAGAATGTCTAACAATCATCCCCAGGCACCACTAATCAGAATGTCTAACAATCGTCCCAAGTCATCACTAATCAGAATGTCTAACAATCGTCCCAAGTCACCACTAATACAAATGTCTAACAATCATCCCCAGGCACCACTAATCAGAATGTCTAACAATCATCCCCAGGCACCACTAATCAGAATGTCCCACAATCATCCCCAGGCACCACTAATCAGAATGTCCCACAATCATCCCAAGTCACCACTAATCAGAATGTCCCACAATCATCCCCAGGCACTACTAATCAGAATGTCCCACAATCGTCCCAAGTCATCACTAATCAGAATGTCCCACAATCGTCCCAAGTCATCACTAATCAGAATGTACCCAGAGTTGATGTCGCCAACTCATTTAATTTCATCAGGTAAACATGATATCGACTACATTGTATATCATGATCTGCTGAAAAATTCTAGAATCACCAGATATTTCTGGAGTTTGATCAGTATTTTAAAATATCAATAAATACAGTCAAAATAATGTTCAACATAACTAAATGTCCCACCATTTTCCTTACTTACCATTTATCTAAATGTCTCTATACTTTCCTTAGTTACCATTAATCTTAACGACCCATAACTTTCCTTAGTTACCATCAATCTAAATGTCCCACCTCTTTCCTTAGTTACCATCAATCTAAATGGCCCACCTCTTTCCTTAGTTACCATCAATCAAAATGTCCTACCTCTTTCCTTAGTTACCATCAATCTAAATGTCCCACCACTTTCCTTAGTTACCATCAATCTAAATGTCCTACCTCTTTCCTTAGTTACCACTAAATCAGATGTTTCCTCACTTCACCATGTTATTAAGCTCTTGTCCTAATCTGGCAGAACTATTATGAATACCAAGGGATTACTTCTCTTTTGTGTGTCCTAATATTCAGTAATTACTAGAAATGGGTTTTCTATCATGATACAATTGCAAATTTTGCTATGTGTTCCACTAATCCAGCAGCATCCTACTCCATTTATTCTGGTGTATGGTGACTGAATACAAACACGCTCATCTTTACACATACTTTAAATACAAAAATTAAACATAACAAGTATTTAATCACATCTACATAGTACATGTAATAACAATGTACTCCTGCTGTTCTGTATCATAGGAACTTTACCATTTAGAACTGAAGTACTAACACATGTCAGGAAGGGCTCTCAACTGAATCAGACTCTAAACATGTTTGGTCAACTTTTCATTTGATTTTAGTCAATCAAGCTAATAAAACATATCTGCCACCAAAATATTTCAAATTTGACCTTGACTTTTGTAACCTAATGATCTTGACTTGTGGTTGGGTGACATCCCATTTGATTTCAGTCAATTATGCTTAAAGTCGTCATCAGTAAATATTTACCAATAACATTCAGACATGACATTTCTTTCTGTATAAATTTTATTTATAGTAATGGTGACCTTGAACTTTAACCTTTGATCTGGAAAAGCGATAGAGAGAGAGTATTTTTGTGAAGAATCAATAGACAATTTTGTTTGAGTGTAATCATCTAATCATAAAAATATTTTGCATATTATTTCCCAATTATAGCAACAATGACCTTGACCTTTGACCTCAGGACCTGAAAACCATTCCCACACAAGCACTTCCTGTGAAGAAGCTTTGAATTAAGTTTGAAAGCAACTGGCCCAATGAGACTTGAGATATTGCGCTGAATCAAAACAATAGACAAATAGACCACCTGATTACTAGATGTATTGGCATCTTTGATGCGGGGCCCCAGTTCCTCTGGTTGGTGTAACCCATAATCACCAGTACAACAATGACTACAATATTACCTACCTCCAGCTCATTCTGTTTGAAGGCCAGTTCCTCTTGCATCTTGTTTTGTTCCAGCACATAAACATCTAGACGATCTGTCAGGTCCTGAGCACTGTAAGACAATATACTACTATAGCCTTTTACACAAGAATGACATGAGTATGGTAACTAAATTTCTCATCAGTTATTTAAAAGAAGCTGTGAGCCACCATCATAGTGTACACCAGCTACAAATTCATGCTGGATGAAAACAGCACTATAAATTCTACTTATCCTTGAAATATTTCAACCACTATTTGAAAAAAAAACCAGGTCAAAAATAATGATAATATTGGTTTTTTGTTCTAAATAACTACTTTAACCAAATTTTAAATCAAAAGAAAAAATTCACTTACTTTTCTTTCCAACCTTCGACTTCTTGCAATAACTGAAGGAAAACATTGTAAGGTGATGAATGAGGTACGACAAACATGTTTATTGTCATTTTTTATTCACCCTAGACTTAGTTACCAACAAGTGAACTGACATCAGCAATCATCAACAACAAGTAGAGAAATCTTGCTGAATAATGAAAAACACAGGGCCATTAATATCACTCCCATTCCAACATTTACTAGGATGGTATTAAAACCTACTAAGATCATTGAGAAGGGGCTTACGACAAGGAAACAAATATCTGACAAATGTAAGTTCATCTGTTGTTTACCCGTTGTTTCTGAGTGTCTGACAGACTAAAGCTTACCTGTTGTTTCTGAGTGTCTGACAGACTAAAGCTTACCTGTTGTTTCTGAGTGTCTGACAGACTAAAGCTTACCTGTTGTTTCTGAGTGTCTGACAGACTAAAGCTTACCTGTTGTTTCTGAGTGTCTGACAGACTAAAGCTTACCTGTTGTTTCTGAGTGTCTGACAGACTAAAGCTTACCTGTTGTTTCTGAGTTTTTGACAGACTAAAGCTTACCTGTTGTTTCTGAGTGTCTGACAGACTAAAGCTTACCTGTTGTTTCTGAGTGTCTGACAGACTAAAGCTTACCTGTTGTTTCTGAGTGTCTGACAGACTAAAGCTTACCTGTTGTTTCTGAGTGTCTGACAGACTAAAGCTTACCTGTTGTTTCTGAGTGTCTGACAGACTAAAGCTTACCTGTTGTTTCTGAGTGTCTGACAGACTAAAGCTTACCTGTTGTTTCTGAGTGTCTGACAGACTAAAGCTTACCTGTTGCTTCTGAGTGTCTGACAGACTAAAGCTTACCTGTTGTTTCTGAGTGTCTGACAGACTAAAGCTTACCTGTTGTTTCTGAGTGTCTGACAGACTAAAGCTTACCTGTTGTTTCTGAGTGTCTGACAGACTAAAGCTTACCTGTTGTTTCTGAGTGTCTGACAGACTAAAGCTTACCTGTTGTTTCTGAGTGTCTGACAGACTAAAGCTTACCTGTTGTTTCTGAGTGTCTGACAGACTAAAGCTTACCTGTTGTTTCTGAGTGTCTGACAGACTAAAGCTTACATGATGTTTCCATGTTTCTACCAGACAAAACTGACCTGTTGCTTCCTGGTTTCCAAGTGTTGTACTTGTTCAGTTGCACCTTGTAGGTGTGATGTATAATTTTCCAACTCCATATTTGTTTCTGATAGTTTTTCATTTGTCTGCAAGCCAGAAGATATTATATTAGTTTTCCAATCTATATATAGGGTGTCAGTGTGTATGATCAATGTATCGATAACATTGTTAAGTATCTGAAGATCTATATATAGGATGTCAGTGTGTATGATCAATGTATTGATAACATTGTTAAGTATCTGAAGATCTATATATAGGATGTCAGTCTGTATGATCAATGTATTGATAACATTGTTAAGTATCTGAAGATCAAGAAGGAATGGGCTAATGCTTAACGCTAGTGTTGTAACTTTTTCCCTATATATTACAACTTTCTTTTTGCACTTTGTACCCAAGTTTGACTTTCTTGTGCCATGATTTATACCAACAAACACCTTTTCCTGCAGATCATGGAGTTCCTCCAACATTTTATCCTTGTGTATGATCTGTTTATGGAGCTCTGAGGCACTTTCATGTTCTGACAGTGCATCTTGTTGCTTTTGTTGAATGTCCACAGTCAATTTATCTCTCTCCTGTTCCAGGATTCCTAACTTTTGTTTCAGAACATCAACATGCAGCTGGAAAAACATCAAATATATCAACTTTTTTACTCATAGATATCAGCAAAATGCAGTCTTGTGAATTGATAATTAATGAGCTATTGTTCCGAAATTAATTTCATGTGCAATCACTTACCAGAGAACGAATTTATACCAATTACTTACATGGGGACAATGACTTATACATATGTACCAAACATTTACAAGATTATATAAAACTGATTCTTGTACCATTTAAATCTGGAGTTCTGTGTATATCAAACATTTCTATAATGAGTTACAACGATGGTTATTGTACCTTGTGGTTTTGGAGTTCTGTTTCTAGATCTCCGGATGAGGACTGGTGTACAGTCAGGTCCTTCTCCAGATCTTTTACCTAAGAACAATAAGCAGAGGGAGAACAGTGATATAAAAGTATTACATTATATTACAATTAAACCAATTATAAGCAATTAAATCCTACACCAGACAACACATTCTAAGTGGTTTTACACCAGACAACATATTCTAAGGGGTTTTACACCAGACAACATATTCTAAGGGGTTTTACATCAGGCAACTTATCTATGGGGTTTCACATCAGACAATATATGGGGTTTCAAATCAGACAATATATTTTATGGGGTTTCACATCAGACAATAGATTGTATGGGGTTTTACATAAGGCAACTTATTTTATGGGGTTTTACATAGGGCAACTTATTTTATGGGGTTTTACATAAGGCAACGTATTTTATGGGGTTTTACATAAGGCAACTTATTTTATGGGGTTTTACATAAGGCAACGTATTTTATGGGGTTTTACATAAGGCAATGTATTTTATGGGGTTTTACATAAGGCAACGTATTTTATGGGGTTTTACATAAGGCAACTTATTTTATGGGGTTTTACATAGGGCAACTTATTTTATGGGGTTTTACATAAGGCAACGTATTTTATGGGGTTTTACATAAGGCAACTTATTTTATGGGGTTTTACATAAGGCAACTTATTTTATGGGGTTTTACATAAGGCAACGTATTTTATGGGGTTTTACATAAGGCAATGTATTTTATGGGGTTTTACATAACGTATTTTATGGGGTTTTACATAAGGCAACTTATTTTATGGGGTTTTACATAGGGCAACTTATTTTATGGGGTTTTACATAGGGCAACATATTTTATGGGGTTTTACATAAGGCAACATATTTTATGGGGTTTTACATAAGGCAACGTATTTTATGGGGTTTTACATAAGGCAACGTATTTTATGGGGTTTTACATAAGGCAACTTATTTTATTGGGTTTTACATAAGGCAACGTATTCTGTAGGATTATGCATTCAAACTTGTTGATTTGTTGGATAAGTATGAACAAGTTTTGGATGACAATTTTATCTTGTCTACATCTACTTCTAGAATGTACTGTCAACCCAAACAATTTCCAGCTAGTTCTTGTATAAAACATACTTTACTATTGGTTCATTTTTTTTTTATATTTGAATGGAAATTTCAAAACTGTGAATGTTCAGCATTACATATATCATCTCAAATCTGGTACATGCAAGTTGGTTGTATTATCCTGTGTCCCCTGAACTGTTTCAACTGGTGTTAAATGAAAGCGACTCTTAAGAGATGATGTGACTCAATAGTCTGCACTGTTTCCAATTTCTGTAAATTACTGGACAGACAACATAACCGAATTGTTTACATTGTCTCTAATTTCTGTAAATTACTGGACAGACAACATAACCTTATTGTTTACATTGTCTCTAATTTCTGTAAATTACTGGACAGACAACATAACCTTATTGTTTACATTGTCTCTAATTTCTGTAAATTACTGGACAGACAACATAACCTTATTGTTTACATTGTCTCTAATTTCTGTAAATTACTTGACAGACGACATAACCTTATTGTTTACGTTGTCTCTAATTTCTGTAAATTACTGGACAGACAACATAACCGAATTGTTTACATTGTCTCTAATTTCTGTAAATTACTGGACAGACAACATAACCGAATTGTTTACATTGTCTCTAATTTCTGTAAATTACTGGACAGACAACATAACCTTATTGTTTACATTGTCTCTAATTTCTGTAAATTACTGGACAGACAACATAACCTTATTGTTTACATTGTCTCTAATTTCTGTAAATTACTGGACAGACAACATAACCGAATTGTTTACATTGTCTCTAATTTCTGTAAATTACTGGACAGACAACATAACCTTATTGTTTACATTGTCTCTAATTTCTGTAAATTACTGGACAGACAACATAACCTTATTGTTTACATTGTCTCTAATTTCTGTAAATTACTGGACAGACAACATAACCGAATTGTTTACATTGTCTCTAATTTCTGTAAATTACTGGACAGACAACATAACCGAATTGTTTACGTTGTCTCTAATTTCTGTAAATTACTGGACAGACAACATAACCGAATTGTTTACATTGTCTCTAATTTCTGTAAATTACTGGACAGACAACATAACCGAATTGTTTACATTGTCTCTAATTTCTGTAAATTACTGGACAGACAACATAACCTTATTGTTTACATTGTCTCTAATTTCTGTAAATTACTGGACAGACAACATAACCTTATTGTTTACATTGTCTCTAATTTCTGTAAATTACTGGACAGACAACATAACCTTATTGTTTACATTGTCTCTAATTTCTGTAAATTACTGGACAGACAACATAACCTTATTGTTTACATTGTCTCTAATTTCTGTAAATTACTGGACAGACAACATAACCGAATTGTTTACATTGTCTCTAATTTCTGTAAATTACTGGACAGACAACATAACCGAATTGTTTACATTGTCTCTAATTTCTGTAAATTACTGGACAGACAACATAACCAAATTGTTTACATTGTCTCTAATTTCTGTAAATTACTGGACAGACAACATAACCTTATTGTTTACATTGTCTCTAATTTCTGTAAATTACTGGACAGACAACATAACCTTATTGTTTACATTGTCTCTAATTTCTGTAAATTACTGGACAGACAACATAACCTTATTGTTTACATTGTCTCTAATTTCTGTAAACTATTCTATATACTAGACTTCACACCTTTTGTTTCGTACTCTGTAAGTCGTCCTCCAAATTTTCTTTTTCCTTCGTCATGATGAACAACTGCTCCTCTAGGCTTCGGACAACCACTGTTACAAACTAAAACTTATTAATAAAAATCCAAAATTCTAGTTTTATACAAAAACACTGTATCCATCAATGTTTGTCTCGGTTTTTTTCTTCTTTAACAATGCAGATCCTTTTCTCCAATCTATTTATAGAACACCTATCTGCGATGATTCTACAAAAGGATGACCTTAGAACAATAGCCAAGGACAAGATCTTCCTTCTTTCAAGCGATTTCCTTGATAGGAAAATGTTTGTGAAACTGTAATCACTTGAGGTAGGTAAAACTTTTATCAATATTTTGATATTGGTGATCTCATTCTATACAGTATAGAATTGGAGTCAAGAAGCATGGTAGGCTGAGTTCTGACCAAATTCTGTTTCCTCATTACAAATATGATATTACAGAAATGTTTCACAAACACATTGTATATTGGTACAAATTTCTCACTGTTTCATACATAAATTTATCATTTAGATTTAAAGATATAACAAAACACAATACGTACAAACAGGATCCTTTTTCTTTGACTTTTTACCCTGTAATTAAAGTAATTATTCAATAAGTACAAAACTGATTTACAAATCATCTTTCCAACTGACGTTTAGTCTGTGGTTAGAGAAAAAACAAAGCCTGCCCCCTCCATTATGATGGTGTAAAACAGTAGAAATGATGAGTACTACACAAACAAGTATTTCATAGTTCCCATTCCAATGAAATTTTTGTGTATTAAATCTACTGGTCTTTGTTTTGCTGATCAAATCTGATACCTACACTCATCTAATGTTTCTTCAACACAATATCATTCACATACCAAAACTCACTTCACAGTGCAACACACACACATACAAACATGGTCATACTTAACATTATTTTGCAGTATACATTGTGAACACCAACAGTTACAAAAAAATCTAAACCCACCTTGAACAACCCGCAGCAAGTCACAGTAAATAATGTGAATGTCATCACCATGGTAACAAAGATAGCCATCTGTGGGGACAGACCTAGTGGTTCTTGTTCCAGCAGAGACTGCACTGAGGGGGGTAACTGGAAAATACAAGTGTATTGGCATAACAAAGCAAAGCCTGCATCATAAACATCACATCTATTAAAGAAATCAAAATAACCATGTACATATATGTATACTGTTCCCCTAAGACCTTGAGATATATCTACACCACTATAACTTTGACCCCTAGTTTTCATGTCTCTATCATTGAACCCTTGATGGATCTATCTTGACCGCCTGATGTTCTGCTCCAAAGTAATATACCAAATGACGTTTTATTGTCAGAAGTATCTGATTTTTGCTATTTTGGCCATAAAATTACATAACAAATATTATATGACAAATTTTATTAGAGGAAGAATAACATTACCAAGTATATAATTTCAATTGCGGCACTTCAACAACAAAAATATGAGATGGCTTACAGAAGTTATTCCAGTTTGGCATTAAATGGCAAAAATTTGTGCAAAATAAACCTGTTATATGATATCTTACATCATTCTTCCTGATAATCTATTGTTTTATGATGACATTTATCTTCACTCTCACCTTACTGTATTGTGATCTATCTTGACCCTTTGCAGTCAATTTAACGATGACCTACCTTGACCACCAGCACCTTGAGTCTTGCATCCAAGCTCCTGACAGTTCTGACCCACCAGGTATCTGCCTGATATGCCTTGTCTTCCTGTGCTTCTATACCTTCATCGCTAATTTTGCGTGACCACTGAGAATCTGTGTTGTAATCGCCTCCCTTCCCTGCCAACTCTTCTCTCTCTGGAGTCTCTGTGGTACCCTGCTCCCATGGATGTACTGTTGCGGTAGGTTTACCATCCACAGGTGGTGGAGGTATATCATTGGGAGAATCTGTGGTAGTTGGAGTGACACCTTGGTCTCCGTCTGAATGAAGATTTTGGATAGTCTCAGTGTCAGCATTCTGTGCTGCAGAGCTGTCATAATTTTTTGTTACAGTTTCTGTCTGACCTTGCTCCCCTGGACTTCCTTGACTAACTTGGGGAACATTGGCTTCATTCTGAGACTGTCCATTAGCTGGTGGCATATTGCCGCGTGACCAATCATGTGACAACACTTTTCTTGAGAGGAAATCTGCAGTTGCATAGATATCCTTATTTGAGTCTGGCTTGGGAACCATTGTTTCTGAAGAGTCTGCTTGCGAAATGTTCTGTTGTACAGTATCCCTGTTTGAGACAATGTCTTCAGTACTTTTTTCTTCAATATTTACACTAACATCCATTGATGACAAAAGTTGTTCAGATATGCTCACAGAGGCGTGTAAATTTTCTGACACAATTTCACTTTGTGATTCATGTGTTGTATGAGAGCTATGTAAGTGCGTATCTGACAAGGAAGTTGTCTCACTGGAAGAAAGGCTATTCGCTTCATTCACAGTGAAGGATGGGTGCTGAGCTATGGATTCCTCAATAGCAGAATGAACAGGTTCCTGGAAAGGTGGGACCTCCAGTTGACTATCCATATTTAAGGACTGGGAAGGATCCATGACAGGAGCTACAGATGTTTGCATAGATTCTGAAAATGATGCAGTTGGCTTAATATCTAGCAGTGGTGAGGACTGGTCTGGTATTTGTGTTCTGAGTTCTTCAATTACAGGAGAAGGGATGTCCATGACCGTCTCATCAAGCATGTCAAGAGGAAAAGGTGTTCCATCTATAACAGTGTATCCTGGTTGGGCATCTGGTTCTTCTGCTGGTGTAACAGATGAAACACTGTCTGACGATTGTAAAATCTGTTCGTTTCCCTCCAAACTTTTGATATTGTCTGCTCTTTCACTTCCTTTTGCATCTTCGTTTACTTGACTTTCAACTCCTGAACTACTGTGTAGTTTTTCTTCTGATTGCACCATATTTTTATCAGATACTGTTTTTTCTGCTTGTTGATCCTGTGCCTGTTCCACCTCTATGACTTCCCTCTTTACTTCTGCCTCTTCTGTTGCAGACTCTTTTATATCTTTGGATACTTCAAGCTGTCCTTTTGCTTCGGGCTGTTCCACAACTTTGATTCCCTCTGCAGGCTGTTCCACCACTTTGACTCCCTCATCAGGCTGTTCTATTACTTTGACTCCTTCATCAGGCTGTTCTATTACTTTGACTCCCTCTGCAGGCTGTTCCACCACTTTGACTCCCTCATCAGACTGTTCCACTACTTTGACTCCATCTGCAGTCTCTTCTACCACTCTACCCCCTTGTGCTGGCTGTTCCATCTCTCCAGCTCCCCCAATTGGCTGGTCTGAAAATCTGTCTTCAGCTGCTGACTCATCCAGTTTGCTTTCTGCTTTTTCTTCTTTTTTCATTGTATTATCTACTTGTGACTGAATAGAATCTAAAGGTTTTGTCTCATGATATTGACCTGTTTGAGCAGTACCTGCAGCTTTTTTCACATTCTCTTCCTCCTTCTGGATACCCTGTCCTTCAGCAGTAGGACTTTCTTGTGATGTAGACTCTAATATATCTGAGTCCTCAGATTTAGGAGATTCTTTCGCCCCATCCTCTGTGGAGGAGACATTAACTTCTTCATCTGATGGAGTCAGACTCCTGTCATCTCCAGTGCTAGCATCTTGTTCAACTTTCCTTAAACTTGCTATAACCTCTGCTATGACTTCTGATTCTTCATCCTCATCCTCATTTCCTCCAATATCTGTTTCATCAATGTCATCCTCTTTTGTCTTAACTGCCTCTCCAACACCCTGTTTAGCTTCCTCTGTAGGTTTGTCCTCATTAGCAGAGTGTTGGAGAGTATCAACTGCCTCCTGTGGTGACTGTGTATGTTGGAATGTTGGAGTTGCTTGCTGTGTTGAATCTGTATCAGAGGATGATGCAGATGCTTCTTGTGTTATCTCCATTTTCTCAGAGAGGCTCTCCACAACCTTTTCTTCATCTGGTGAAGGGGATTTATTCAACAGAATTTTGTTCAACTCTGCAGGAGAAAATAATACATTTTGTTATCTAATGTGTACCCAATGTGGTAGTCTTTTTATGACAGGAATTTCACATCACCAATTAAATAAATCTTTTAGATAATTTCTCTGCCAACAAAAACCATAATCATTGCAAAATGTTTAATACTACAATATAAGAGTTCTTCACTCATCAAAAACCAGCTATGTTAAGATAAACTTTATTCAGTTGTTAGCGGAGAAGAGCTCTACAACAATATTAAAACATGTATATTGGAGTTGATACATATTATAAATAAGGATGGTTTTAAATCCTATCTAATTGGTTGTATTAACTTTGTTTTTGAAACAACCTTTGACAAATATTTTAAATTTACAAGAGTATACCACACAGTTCCATTTAGATATGTTCCATGCTGGGCCGCTACATTAAATATGATCCACTCCAATAACTAAGCCAGAGTATATAGTGATAAGATTACACATCTGAGACCGACTTTTCCAAAAGCTTGGTTATAATGTTTAGTATCCAGCATATCACTACTATAGTTAATGATGTCACAGCATCTAACATTGCATATGTTGATTTATAATTATGTTTAACAGTTTAATATTGTGTATACATATACTTCTACAGTAAATGTCTAAAGTTAAGTGTTAAATTATATAAACATGCTGATATAAGTCAGAGATTGTTAGTCAATTGTGAGCCTTACTAAACACACTGTTAAATTATTAATAAAACAGGGATTTGTTTAAAGTTTCAGTGGCACCCTTTTCAGCAGTCATGTAAACAGTGCCTAGTACATATAAGGCATTCATGAATTATTTCAATGCAGACCATGCAAGTTAGACATTCATTGTCCAAATCAATTTAGAGATGTGTTGAATGCATTCCATGCTCAATTTTAAAATACTCTGGATTAGTTTTTACCTTCAATTCTGATTTTTTCTGCATTGTCTTCATCAAGAAGTATTGGAAATATATCTTCATCAAATTCATTGATATGATCTAAGATATTCTTTGCTTTGATATGTTCAAAATCAATAACATCTGAAAACGACAGTAGAATGACTATTTGTATATAAGCTACAGAAGAAAGGATAAACATTGACGTTTATATCACCATCAACTAAAAGATCATCTATAAAATGTAAGCACCAAATAAACAGAAAAACAAGGAAACAGCACTTAAATCAATCATTGTCTAAACCAATCACTTTATTAGTGTACAAGTGTCAGGACTCATGCTTTACAATTGCTGATTTAAAATGCCAGGGCTTCCTCTGGGGATCTGTGGGGCTGATTATGAGTCTCATTTCCAAATGGATATATTTAATGAAATAGCCAAATTCCCAAAATATGTAAGTCCTGGAATTCCTAAACATGCATCATGTTTGCCTATAATCTATGAAGCACTAGGTGATACCAGAATAAACTCAGAACTTGATTACTTCCTCACTTGTTTTTAAACATGTCTTTGCAAGGACGAAGATGTTTTGGACAGCATACATTTTCATGTCTAATCAGGAAATCAAACCTTGATAGTTTAGGTAAAAGTTATTGTTTTACCACTGCACCTTAAATAGAGTAGAGGATTTTCATATCCTTACCTCTGCCACTTTCTTCCTCTATTGTTTTATCTGATGGTATCTCTGTGGAATCTGCACTTTCTTCAGCAGCATCTCCAGCATCACCTTCATCTCCTATCTCTGTCTCATCTATTTCTGTATCATCAGCTTCTACCACTTCTTCTGATGAAGCATTCTTAAAACAAAACAAAAAATTCCAAATGAAGATGAGTGGGACTGTTGTTTTTTTGAAACACTTCAGATAATTATGTCTCTGCATCCTTGATGATTGGTTGACATCAGAACATATTTATCAATTTCAATTCCTTAAGAAATGAAAAAAGCATCCGTATGGAATTTGAAAAATCAGAGTTTGATAAAAAGGATAAATACCAGTGAATTATTACTGAACTTTGATTTTCTAGTACCTGTGCTTTTTCTTTCTCGACACCATCTGAGTCTGAAATCAATAAAGACACAAAGTTAGTCTTAAAACCTAAACAATAATGATTATACTACAAACAAACAAGTAACACACATCATTTATAAATGGGTTATATAAAGTCATTAAATAACAAAGATAACCTACCTGAAATATTTACAATAATGTAAAAATACATTTCAGCAAAGATAAACAATCTTGATTATTACAAAAATAATAAGTAGAAAAAAATACTAATTTCTAGAAAATGATAATTATACAAATAGGTATAAGATATTGTAGATTTTTTTCCAGTTCCAGTATGTAAACACGGACTGATAATTTCATATGAATCAGGAAATCATAAACCTGTTTAATTCGTATTACAATTGTATATTGATCATTTTCAAGAAAAAGTTCAAGAAGCTATTTCCCACTCAAAGCACAAATCTAACTCTAGGTTAAAAAATCTTATTTTAGATAACTATACCATTTGATTCCTCTACAACTTCAGTATCATCTCCAACCTCAGTCTCATCTCCAAGTTCAGTATCATCTCCAAGATCAGCATCATCTCCAAGTTCAGTATCATCCTCATTCTCATCCATTCTCATTCGTTCCTCGATTGATAATGCCTTCTAAAAGAAAAATCAGGATTGTTATATTAAACATGGATTTTGTTAAACATTATTTAAAGGTGAACAAGAATATTCAGAGAAAGCATTTAAACATGAATAAAATATACATGTATGATCATTGGAACATCACACAGTTCACATTTGAATAGATGAACACTTACCTCTGTTTTTACTACATGTTGAGGGTTGGGTATATCAACTTTGTATTCTTTAACAAATGACCTTGGGAAGTAACCTTTCCTTCCATGGACCTGCAAAATTGTGTGATGTTTCTTCATATGCTAAAACTGTTTTTGATAAATATAGATGATATATCATATTCAATACTTTATAAACATCAAGACAATGAAACTTTGATCATCAATAGCTAGAGAAACAATGGTACAGTTAGTCATCAGTAATATTTTGTTGTAGCAGTTCTTTAAAATATTTGAAACACAGAAAAGAAATAGACTACATGGTTATACTAAAAAATAAAGCTAATTCTGATGTTCATCTTGACAGTGAATACAATATACATTGTATCTTATAACTAGTATAAACAATGGTTTCACAACAGAGTTCAATAATATAAACTTAAGTAGCATTAAATCTAATGAAATGTGTTGATTTCATTACCTCTCCTCCCCAAAGGTCTGGCTTTTGACCCGCTGATTTACTTAAGATATGCACTATATCATCTCTTTCAAAGCTCAAGAAGATGGGATCATTTTGTCTGTATTTACCTAAAGCTCGGGCATAGGATATAATTTCTGAAAAAAAATTAACAATTTTAATAAATTCATATTTGTCTTGTTTAAATATCACTCAATCACTATGATATGACATGTCCAACCAAACTCTTCAACAACATGTTTATAGTGTAACATGTGACGTTTTACCTGTATTTATAGTAGTATTAATTAGTGCATTTATGAAGTTGAAGTTTGTATTTTTAATGTTTACTTAATCACACTTTATATTTATTGTTGTTTTTAAGAAATAAACACTAACAATGAAATGGCATTGTGTGGAGCTGCATTACCATTAGACAGAGTGCAAACCCTTGATACACAGAAGCGGGGAACAATCCATTTCATCGTTCTAGTTACCTGTAAATGTTTCTGTACATGTGCTTTATTATACAAAAAGCATCTAAACCAGAGACCTACATAACATACGTCTTTGAACCAACACACACCCTATCTGAAGACCATTATTGTCCATGCTGGCTACACAATCTATACATGTACGAAGTGATCAATTGGTCAATGTATGTTAATTGAAAGAAGCTTCAAGTATCTTTGTCTAAGATATATTTTTAAACACCCTTTCAGCCCTTTCAGCATTTATATTTTGAACACAACCATTCAACCCCCCCCCCCCCCCCCCCCCCCCCCCCCCCCTTCAGTTTTCAATACTGTCACACTTAATTATCGGTTACATGAAGAAGTGTTCTTACTTCCACAATTAGCATCTCCACATAGCCTTAAATCGGAAATGCCTGACGCTTCTACTATAGCGATAAGAATTGTAATAAGCCATGTCACAAGTATCAACCGGCTTGTAGTACGTTCCACTGATGCTGCCATGTTTTTCTACTTTCACGCTTATTGTACACGTCAGCTGGCGCTGTGAGCAGAACTTCCGGTTATAGATTTAACAATGATTACTCCCTTCATAAAGGAGGAAGATACTGAGGGATATGAAACTGCCTATATCTCTTTGTAACGCCATAGCGAAGAAATTTTAATTAACTAGCGTTGCTATTTTCATAAATCATTCTTTCCAAAAGTACATATGTAATGAATTACGCCTGAAATATCACTCTTAGGCTGTATACCACTTTCAGCCCAAAACACGAAGAAAATTAGTTTTAACAGGGACGTCCCTGGTTTTAAATAGATGGCACCAGGAACGTATATAACATTAACGTTATATACGTTCCTGATGGCACTAAAAATCTGAGTAATTTTGCAATTGACCCGTGTAAGTTTTGTGACACTTTCTATTAATAGAATTTTCTTACAAAAACGAGTTCGCTTCTCACTGGCCGACAAGTGAACATTAACTACAACATACAGGCACAGGTATAGAAGATAAGAATGCAACTGTACGAACAGAAGCAACCGCTAGAGAATTCATATAATAAACGACCCCCCCCCCCAATCCTCAGCCATCTAGAATATCGGAGGACCAAAACTGATTGTGCCAGTCATGCAGTTTCAAGAATATATACACCGTATACATGCGTGTGTGTGTTATTATAGTGTTCAACAACATCAAACATCAAAATCCAAAATTGCTTCTTGCGTCCATCATTCGATTCCTGAAGTGTATCATATGTCTGATTTCAAAGTGTTAAGATGAATAGATCATTATAACAGTAAATTGATTTAATATGTTGATCAAGTAATTTAAGTTTTAATACCAACATGAAACAAGTTGTTGATTCACCTCTCCGTGTTTTATGTCGTCAAGTTAGTATTTGGAACCCGCATCACATACAGGACGTCAATTTATTAGAGAATGTACAAAGAATAGCAACAAAACGTTTACCAGGAATGAAAGAATTAACATGTTGAGAGAATGATAAGACTAAAATTACCATCATTAAAGTACAGACGGGGCCGTGGGGACATGATTGAGGTTTTCAAGATCTTAAGAGGATTGTATGACAACGAAGGATATGCAAATTTAATCAGCAGAGTTCAGAACAAAAGAACAAGAGGGAATTCTTACAGCCTGGAAAAAAGCTAGATCTCGTCTAGATCTCAGGAAGGTTTCTTTCTCTCTAAGGGTGGTAAAGGATTGGAACTCTCTACCAGATTATATAGTACAGGCGCCAACTTTGAACTCATTTGAAAATAGGCTTGATAAATATTGGAAAAGTGTGAATAGAACATATAACATATTTATTCCAACCAGAAGTGACAACATTAAACCAACAGATTGTGACAAGGTTTCGGATCTGAACATAGAGGCACAAGGCCTGCGTTCAGTAACTACTAAATTATAATAAGTTAAACTAAGCTAAGCTATGAATATTTCTCCGATTATATCCCGGGATTTAAAGCACTTTAGGATTCATAACCCGGATGAAAGTTTATATGACGTTGAATAATTATGACGTCATATATGAAACGTACAATGCCGCCATGACGGTGAGACATGACATCTTCAAAAGACATCATAAAATGGTCAGGTTTGTGTTTTTTGGGACTTAGTGTTGCAGTGGCTCTGTATAAAAGAGAATCGTTGCTATCTAGATTCAACTGGATACATGAAAGTGTAAGTGGTTTTTTAAGACATTCTATGATATTTACTTTTTGGAGTTAGGCATACAACATCTATGCCTGATTCAAGTTGATCTCACTACACGTATTTGCATATATAGGCTTATACAAGTTATGCATGTATAAATATAGCATATGTATATATGTATCCTTTTGGGGTTAATCCAAAATTTGTCTTTATTAGACTTTCGATATGAATGCACGACCCGTTAAAATGATAGATTCCCAATTTAAGCGTTGCTATGTAGAATATTTGCAAGTGCTGTAAATCCGCAAAAACGAACCTTTCTCGTATACTTTTAGTCACAGACAAAGCGATGTTCATGTCGATTTTTACTGATTTCAATTGACTCATTCTTGAAAAAAATATAAACCAAAACAAACTGGTCGTGATCCAGTGTTGGGTAATGATTTCGTCAAATACGCAAAATTATCCCAACGATCTGATTTTTTTTATTTATGACTCAGATGAATTCAAATAAGTTTTATTTATCTACAGCAAGAAGACGAACTGACGAATACTGACGAAAATTCCCCAACCAAATCGAATTCAGATACCAGCACTATACATGCATGTGATAGCACTGTTAATGATACCGACTCCGACTCGTTCTTCAGTGTTACATCAGAGTGTGACGGCGTGTGTTGTGAAGCCGAACTGACAGACACTTCGTCTTCAGATGATTTTGAAGACACCTATAAGAAAAACATTGTTATAAAGAGTGGTATTAGAGATTTGGAGGCGGAGGAACAAAACCACACACACACAAACGCAGTCAGAGAATTAGCACAGCAACTGTCTTCCCCTATTGTTACCTCCATGGAATCTCAGACAACACGTCGTGACATCAATGACAACGGTTACAATGACGTAACATCAACATCACGCGTACTCGAAGATACGTCTCCATCAACCTCTGAGCCAACTTCTTATAACCGTATTTATGATGGATACCGCTCCATAGTTACGCCTAATTCACCATCTACGCTGATGTTTGGTACACGTGATAAATAAAACTTGTAAGTCATAGATGTGTCAGAGTTTCGTTTTCTTCTTTGGTAATGAACAATGAAAAAATACGCATAAGGCAAGATTTTTTGGAACAATAAATTTCATCATCACGGCACTTTAAATCACTTGCCAACATGGGAGACTATCCTTTCATCATATTATGCTTTAGAAACAGATCGGCGCTACACCAGAATCCTACTTTGAAAACATTAAAAAATAGATTTACATTATCCTTCACAAACTACAACTTGCAGAATAAAAAACATGGAATCTACAAATGATATCCGAGAACAATTGATCACGTCTCTTTTTAAAAACGGCGAAAGCAGGTTACCTTTCCAATCGATCTCAAGAAAAGGCTGCAGATGAAATTTTGTTATATACAATATTATTCGAAATCCAGGATACATGCATTAGTCTTGAAACGCTGTTCTTTCAGCGATTATGTCCATTTTTTAAAAGACGCTTGCATTGCTTACTTTAAAGTGCTACCCCTTCAACAAAAACTGACCAAATGACACCGATATTTGGGTACACAACATTAAGTAGTCAAGGAAGCAGAGCTGAAGAAAGACATCCTTGCTTAACTTCTTCAACACAAGACACAACTTATCAATCAGCCCTCATGACATGTCGATTTTTACACACATAAGATGTTCAAACCAAAATCTTAATGAACCTTTTCGACTTCATCTGCTTTAAAACATCCCAGGTTTCACAAGCGATGCTACCAACGTATGTGTCAAATAAATGAAACATATCCTGTTTAGATTAACGTGATTGTACTTGGAACGTAAAGCGAGAAGCACCATACGACCTTGGTCGGCTAAATGTTAAACATTTCAACCAGATTTATCGCTAAACTTCAACAAAAAAACTGTAACCAGATGGCTTATGGGAAAATGGTGTTCCAGCTAATTATGAAAAAATAGAACAAAAAATAAAATCAATCTTTGGTTTCATTCAAGTTATAAATGTACCGTTGATCTAAATATTATTATCAGACCTAATGTGTATCTTTAGTTAATACGATTTATGCTGATGTGGCAAGACATTGAACACTATAAGTAGGTGAAGTAGGATTAGCTTACAAACTGACCAGGAAGATTTCATCACATTTAATTACGCAGTATATACAATTGTATGTGTTCCTATTTCTATATATGTATCATCTATGTACCTATTCCTATATAATGTTAGTATGTATTGATTTACGGATGGTCAGCAATAATTTAGCTAACATCAGCGTAGATTCATGATTCAAGATACATAGGTAAGTGGGGTTTGATCAACGGTCATTTCGGCAGTGGGGATAAATAGACGACAGATATTGGGGTTAGCGAGAGAAGGCCGGGGAGCGCTGGAGAAAGGAACACCATCTCTCACAAACCATGTCAGACTGCTTGTACCTAATAAAAGAAGAAATTAAAAGAAACGACTTGCTTATACTCAATTGGGCCACAAAACCCAAATAACAAAATTATCCCAGTTTTGCCAACTTATGCTACAGATTTACTCTATCAACAAAATGTTAGGCTTTGCGAAAATCGACAAGGCAACAATATAATACCTTTTCAACAGAGAAAATTATCGAGATGATGGATTGCGATGCAAAATAGCATGAAATGTTCTCAAACCAGGACGGGCATCTGAGAGAATGTTTTGTTCAGTACAAACCTCTAAAAGTCATTTATTGAGTACAGATATTGATAAATTGCATAAAAAACCATGACAATCACACTTCTAACGTTGTTTGGGTCAGTAATGACACCTTATGATATAAATAGATACAATAATTACTGATGACCCATAGTACAGGTACAAATGGAGTAATTTGTATCCTCAATAAAGCATTCAATATAGAGACAATTCAGTCAACTTTTATAAATATTTTTTCACGTAAACATTCCTTCATGGAATTGTAGTTCTGTATTCGTTATGAACTATGCATTTCCTTATATTGGCACAAAATTATGCTTTCCGTAAGTCTTCTCAGTTAATCTAGGCACATCGTCTCCCGCTTAAGATAGGAAATTGACGAAGCCATTTCTTCAAAGTGACTAGGAAAATCTAACTCGTCAAACATCTTCTATTTTCCTATCTTCCCTCTCTTTAAACATCTTTAGAACGTCGTGCCCTGAAAGTGCTTTTGGCAGTTTGGCCTTTTCACATCGTTTCCCCTTTCCTTGTTTGACCTCAGGAATCACCAAGGTGTCAAACACACTGGACACGGAATTCTCGACTCTGGTAATAAGTGTTCCCAAACTGGTTTCTGTAACTGAACTTAATACATGAACATCAGCTCTCACTACGTGCTCATTCTCCTTATTGAACTCTACAGTCACATTCTTGTTTCTCTCATCCCCTGATACGCCAACACTTGACCCATCCACATTCTCTATGTTTATATCGAGAGCAACACCATTGTCACTCTTGTTGGCCTCGCAAATCTTTCTCTCCACAGATACATTCTCTTTGTCTCCACTTTATCTATGGTCATCACTCTTTACCCTTTGGCTACATCGTTATTTTCTGCATCTACACCCATTACGAATTCCTTCGTTGGCGATATTATCGTACATGGTTCAAGTTTGCTTTTGTCAATACCTTCCGATGAGAACGGAAATAGACCGGTCCGCTTAAAGGCATGTGCTGCAATGGAGATGGCGGAGCAAGTGTCCCAAGCATGTTAAAAAACCCCCAGGAAACGCACGTTTGGTAAGAGCCTGACCCAAGTGTTCTATCTGCCACTGCTTCACATTGGCCTTCCATGCAGACTTCATTGGCGAGAAGAAGCTAATATCGCAGGTTTGCATTATATGCGTAGCGTTTGGAAGAAGGCAGTATAAAACTATGATATGTTCTGCACAAAACCTTGCCGCATTTCTTGTCGTATGCGTTCTTTGTCCGTCCACAAACAGAATTACGGGGTTTTCTATTTCCTTTTCTTCCACAAAGTCATTGAAAATCACAAGAAAGCTGAGAAATAGTTCATGGTTCATCCACCCGTTTTCTGAATGTGAGTAAATGGCATCAGGGAATTCCCTGTGTCCCTGAAACGTTGTCCTGGAACTGAGACAATAAAGGGGAACCTAGTCTCCCAGTGCGTTCAAACATGCCATCACAGTTGTTTGTTATTTGCAACAACCTGATATACATGCTTCGACCCTGTTTGGGAAAGTACCTTTCCCGACTTTGTACACAGTGGAAAGCCCGATTCATCACCATTAAACACTCGTCTGGGCTTTCTCATCATTGGTTCCCAATTTGGAACTTGCTATTTTTTGTAATCAGTTTGTGGCATTATTTAGTTACATGCCTTTTGTAATTGTAATCAAATTTCACACAACATAATAATTGGGATTCCAGAATTTTACTGTTACATACTTATTATCACCGAAAAATATTTTTAGAAGATAATGATATTTGTGCGTTTCTTAGTACTTTTAAAAAAAAATTAATTTCCCGCCATTTATTTACCGGAAGTAAGGTACCGGAAAATTTCATCATCACATTCCAAAATGGCTGTCGGTGGGGTAAACTGCATCAAAAGGCATTTGTAAATATACCAGAACTGTAAGTTTTATGTCGACAAGGGACCTATAGTAGCATTATACAACAACGTGTTTTATAGTATTGTTATCGGATGATAAATGTTTCACAAAATTTATCCCTTTGTACATATTTATATGAACCAATTTTTATCTCCATGGAAATTATGTCAACTTTCAGCAAGCTGATCAGCTGACAACGATGTCGGGATGAAGTTATGCTGATATTTGTAACGAAAAAAACTCATCGAAATGCTTATTATTTTTATATGAATGCTTATCAGAATTAACATTTTTCTGACCGGTTTATGTTGCGTTATAACACTTCATAGTATATAGTAAGTGCGATACTATACACATGATATAGTAATTTATTAGTATTATCGATACTGGTACTGTCCATATTACATATTTATATATAATTCATTGTACTCTGTCACATTCACAGTATTAAGTATACTACCACGAATTTGCTTGTTCAAATTTCACATTATCACACATATTTACCAAACCATAGATTGTCAGAAATGAAATATCATAACTGATAAAACACTCATACCTATTCTTTATGTGCAAATTTTCACAAAAATCATGTCAACTTTCTGGATAGCACTTTATGATCAAAGACAAGATGTACAGAAATTCAGATTTCATATTAAGACTAGGTATACAGTTCAATGTTCTTGCTTTGAAATTTACCTTTGGCAGTTTATGACAATAAAAGACTGTGTGTCAGAAATCTGGCAATAGCGAACACCCGATATTTCTCCTGTAGGTTGTAGTTATGTGATATGACCCACAACCTATCCTATTCCTATAGGTTGCAGTTATGTGATATGACCCACATCCTATCCTATTCCTATAGGTTGTAGTTATGTGACCCTATCCTATTACTGTAGGTTGTAGGTATGTGATATAACCCACATCCTATCCTATTCCTATAGGTTGTAGTTATGTGATATGACCCACATCCTATCCTATTCCTGTAGGTTGTAGTTCTGTAATGTGACCCACACTCTATTAATAGTTTTTTGTGTTGTACAAAAATCCTTTAACTGCATTTCTTTTAGTTTCCTTTATTTAGTGTCACACAGAACTTGTTCGGCATTTTAATAATGGAAGATTTAATTAAGCATAAGAATATACCTTCCAAGAGATATACAATCTGCTTTATTGTTATAATGTTGTGGTTTTTTTATTGAAGAATTTGATCTGGTATCAGAAATGGAGGACAGAAAAATGAAGGTTTGTATGCTAAATCAATTGAAACAAAATTAATTCTGAAATCTTATAGCTGGTTGGAATACCCAAGTTTTAGTCCAAGTCTCTTTTACTATATATTGGAAACATTTCCTTCAGTCCAACATGCATTTGTTTAGCCTTTTTCTAAAACGAGCAGAAATAAAAGGCGAGGTAAAGTTTCATGTTAAAGCTGGAGCGTGTGTTTTTACATATTTTAGGGGGAAATTAACACTGGATGAAAGCAAAATGTTGTATACGAGGGGAAAAACACCAAGATGTTTCCTCATATACATTAGATATAGTAGTAATTGTTTGACACCCAGTATTTGACATATGAAAGGTAATTTTAATTGATGGAAGAGTATTAATTTTTCAACATAGGAACTCGATCTGCATCTGGATCTTGAGTACCTTGAAGAAAGTAACACAGATGCTGATAAATATGAAAATGAGGAGTGGCCAAGTTACAGCAGTGGGTCAGAGGAAGAGCTGGGAAACCTGCAAGAGGAATGGGACCAAAATGTCAACCACCCAGTGCTCAAAAATGGAGGTGCTGCAGGGGACACCAACCCTCTCTATAATGGTGGTGGTCTGTTGCCTTATGGTATGTTGTTCAGTTGTAAGCAGGTTTTTTTAACTTTGTGTTTATAATCCATATAAATCTCCAGTTCTGTAAAAGCAAGATGTGAAATATCTTATATGATAATTTAATTGACATCTGGAGATGAAGTAACTATTTTTATAACTGTTAAACAATGTGCTAGTATTAGTATGGCAGCATAAAGGTATATTACATTGACTAAGAATGACAATACATTGTCAAGACATCAACGGAACATTGGTGACAGAGTTAGTAATAGTAGGTGACAGTAGAGATTTTTTAACATGCTTAAACATTTCTCTTGTTGTGCTGCCAGAGTGAGCAACAGGACCATTGTGGTAGAACAAAGGCAGTACTACAGTAAAGTTTCATTAGTGTTGATAGAGTACCAGTAGCACCCCATGATAGATCAATGGTTCTCTGGTGACCTCAGTGTGTACTGGAACCTATGTGGTACCATATTACTGTTGTTGTAATGACAATGTACTACTATTCTTAACAATTTAATATCTTATTACTACCATGCTACTCGGTGTAACATCAATAGTACATTGGTAATACTTAGACAACAGAAAATGTGGTATTTGATAGCATAATGGCCCTTACATTGGCAGTAAATTGAGAATGTGGGTTCTAAAATAATGATTCACAAATGCTGTCTCAATGGATCTCAGCCACTTCACTTGGCTTTGCTAATTTTGTGCTCAGGTTTAGTGCTGTAAGGTACATTGGAATATGTGACAAGGCATAACAACACTCATAATATGAGAGTTTAGATTTTCTTAAGTAAGATTTCTTAGTATAGCCATGAAAAAAAAAATCAAGCTAGAAAAATCTTCTCGCACATTAACTGTGGTGATTAGATTATATTGTACATCTGTTTGCTGAATTCTCTGTAATGTTGATGGATATTTTATTCTTAAATATTGTTCTCATTTGCATTTCTTTAGAGGATGGAATTGATGTTGACAGTGAAGAGGAGAGAGACATTATGAAGGAAATCAAAGATGAAATCACCAACCAAGTACGCAGTGAAATGAAATCTGAAATAGGTGTATATAGAAAAAAATTAGAAGCTTTAGAATTCAAAGAAAATATTGACCACAAAGACAGTTCTCGTGCTAAAGCTGAGGAAATTCTTGATGAAGTTGATCCAAAACTGAAGGATGCCATTTTAAAGATGAGAAAACTTGATCGTATCCTCGCGAAAAAGGTTAAAAGGGAGCGTGAAGTCAAAAAGGATAGAATCATGCTTCAGAGAAGGTAGGAATTAAACATTACTGTTGTCTTGATTTTACTTTATACTTTAAATTATCTTGAAACTAAATGTGTGTCTCATTCTGTTCATGTATAAACATACACTGTTGACATGTTAACATTTTGGTGTCATAATGTCACTCACATGATTTCAGAATCAAGGATGAACTTACAGATCTGAAATCAGAAGGATCTAATGAGAGAAAGGAAGAAAAGATGAACACATCTAAATACCTAGCCTTGACTCTTCCACCTAGTCACAATGAAGGTATGTGTGTAATACATATCTCTAGTACTAGTACAATCTCAAATATTAGACTTATTTTGACCAAATTTAGTCTGGTGCTTAATTGGTAAATAGTAACAGTCTGTGCATGTGAGGAAGTAATGATGACATCTGTATGGAGGGTTTCAAGATCTGTTCTTCTAAATTACTGTTTTCTTTCTTATTTGATTCTATTTTTCTAATCACATATAACCTATGTGACTGTCTTATATCATTATAATAATAGATAACAATTTTTGCTCTTGATTTTACTCTTTGGAATTCCCATTTCTGAATTGAACTTTATAATTCCAATTTAGCATTTTATAAACCTTTTATTTTTTGTTTAAGTATAATGATTTCTTAACTGCTCTTTATTATATTTCTAAATTTGAAATTTAGCTTTGTTATTTTTTAGTTTTAATTGCAATATCACTTTTATTTCCCAAAATGTAAAAACTAAGATTGAAAAATACAAAATAGAAAAAAATGGAAAGTTAGTATGATGGCCCATATATCACTGTTGTAAATTTCAACCTTGAATTGTTATGCCAGATGGTGTTCAAAAATATCACCAACTGAAGTCAAGGACAACTCCCTATACATTCACACACTCAGATATACAGAGACATATATTTAACATTTGTTATGTGTTGTATTCATCACTAATATATCTAATTCCTACACTAATACATTTTTTTTCTGCCATAGTTGGTCTAAATTATCTGCATTAAGAAACAACATTTGTCTAATCTTTAGATGTGAAGTCTGGCAACTGTTATTAGATCATTCACATTTTTTTATGATATGAACCTGATATGAACCTGATCATCAAGTCATGCCAAATTGTTTCCTGCCAATAATTATCCTTTCACTTTAAACAAGACATAAATCTTCATTTCTTTGACAGAGTAGCAATGTTGTCCTTGTATAGCAGTATCTAATGTACTGGACCAAGCATGCCAAGAAATTTATGTAATAGTTTTTTAATTCTAAATAAACAAATCACAACATTTACAGACCATTTCCTCTATACATAATACTTTTTGTGTCTAATTTGTTACGTCTGGTCCCTTGTCAAAACATTTACAAAAGACTTGTCCTAACTGGACCTTGAGTTTCCAAATGGTACTTTATATTAGTTTTACATAGTATGGAATGTATTATCTGACTGCAACATACTAGCACATGTTAGAATTCAAGTACAAACTGTATAGACAGGTTAATATTTACTTATCAACCGTTATTGTGAGTGACAAACAGGTAATGTACATGTAATGTTCAATACCCAAACTAAACCTATCATGGTGGTAAAATGTAATAATAAAGCAACCAATGAAAATGCAAAACCATTAGTTTTAATTGATCACAGTTCAATTTCAATTGGAGGCATTTCATCTTTTCCGATTATCAGTTGTCCCAACGGAAAAACAGAAAGATAGATATATAAGTGTATCTGAATCAATGCCTTTTGTTTTTAAACATAACCTTCACAAAAAGCAAAATTTTAATTATTTTGTGATTGATAATGATATTTCTTAAAATATACATATTACCGGAATATAATTATGATATACCTAGCTGTATCATAGAGGTCAGCTCCAAGCTCTCAAGGACTTGCATGATAAATCTACTGAAAATTTACATAGTCAGTCAAAATTTCAAAGAAATGTCTTTAATTTGAATGAAAAAATTATATTGAAGTTCTTTTCACCAATTCGAACTCACTTGCCAACAGCACCATTTAAGAAAAGCAGATGCATAAACCGTTTGCGTATGCTGCAACCATCCCCAATGATGTGAATTATTACTACAATTTCTGTGGAATACCACTTCATAAAATGATATATCCAAATTGTTAAAAGTTAAATTCTACTATTGGTACCAAAACACTTAAATTAAATAACTATTATATTATTGTAGTTAAAACGTAAAAGTTGTTGTGATTATTAGGGAGCGCTCTGTAAAATTTGAGGTTGTATGGTAGATCAGAATTCCAACTTGTAAGGATTATCATTCGATATTAGAAAATAAATGTAAATTATGAAAATAGATACAAAATACAATAGTATGATAAGAAACAAACATTTTACAATTAAAGTGTTAAAACAAATCATAATATCAATATAAGGAAGGAAGTATAGATATATAAAAGGGCAATGATTTTAATAATTAAACTATCAAAAGTAAGAAAAATGTTAAATTGTAATTTGTGCCTTTTTACCCAGAAGCCTCCTTTTTGTGATAGGAATTCAGCAACATATTTACAAGGGGTGTGGTCCCCATGACAGGCCTAATAAGGGCATTGTTGACAGACATTGACAGAGAGTTTTCAATAAGGTTTTACTATGAATGCTATTTGGAACCAGGCAATCAGAAATACAGCATATTTGTGAAAGGAAACACGTGTTAGTGAGAATGTTGTGCCACTATTGTTGAGATGAGTGATACAGACTTTCTGGACATAAAATCGTTGAGTTCCATGTCTTTCTTTTAATTACTTTTTCAGGGGTTGAAGTGCCAAACTCCTTGAATGAACCAGTATTTACTACACAGCTTAATGAACAAGACTATCCTGATGTTCACAGACAGAATGGGGAGGTCGGCAGTGGTCATAGACAGAGAAAGGGTAAACTTTGTTCAATGTAATTAAGGTTTGTAAAGTGGCTTCAAACTTTACACCAGATTAGATCCTGAATAATCTATAGGAAGTCAATGAAGATTTTAAATGGAAAAGTCAGAGCGTATGATTGCCATGTTACCCCATCACAGAAGTGAAGATATATTAATACACCTTTTTAGCATTTACAAATTCAAGTATTTGTTCTTTAATTTGTGAATTCACTTGTAAAAGTTGCTGTTACCCAGCATATTAGTAGGTCAGTTTGTTCCTTTACTACTGAATAATATAGATTTCAAGGAGGCTACCAGATTAGGATAAGGCCTATTAGTAGGTCAGTTTGTTCCTTTACTACTGAGTACTATAGAACCTCAAGGAGACTACCAGATTAGAATAAGGCCTATTAGTAGGTCAGTTTGTTCCTTTACTACTGAGTACTATAGAACCTCAAGGAGACTACCAGATTAGAATAAGGCCTATTAGTAGGTCAGTTTGTTCCTTTACTACTGAGTACTATAGAACCTCAAGGAGACTACCAGATTAGAATAAGGCCTATTAGTAGGTCAGTTTGTTCCTTTACTACAGAGTAATATAGAACCTCAAGGAGACTACCAGATTAGAATAAGGCCTATTAGTAGGTCAGTTTGTTCCTTTACTACTGAGTACTATAGAACCTCAAGGAGACTACCAGTTTAGAGTAAGTACATCAAACTGTTTTAATTCACTTCCTTTTTATCATCATGTCATGTATAGTGTTATAAATCAGTTCATACATTTATCATGCTTCTGGATTGCTAATATCTGTGACAGTGGTTATAGGAAAAGTCTTCCTGAAACAAGTTCTTACAGGGTATTTCTGGGGTAACAACTTTCATGATTATTTAGATACTCAGAATAAGTTTGATTCAGGAAGATCACAGTCTAGGTTCTATGTTATATAAATTGTATCTCATCAACACTAACCGTTTTTCTTACTAGATAGGTGTAGCATTCTGCTCTTGAACTCATAGTTATAGTGTTGTTGATTTTTCATAGGCTCAAGTCACAGGTCCAATACTGCTTCAGAACGAAGTGACTGTCACTCTCAACAAGACTCAGAACTTGGTAGTGAGACTTCTTCACTTGCAGGCAGCAAGTCTGGAAAGAGAAAGAAACGTAAAAAAGACTTTATCAAAAGAAATAGAGAGGTAAAGCATTGTTTTATCAAAACTAAAATCAAATTTTTCTGTTTTATAATATATTTCATTGAACATTTCAAATCCAATGGGTATCCTTTGGAAAGAACTTTCATAAATGTTCTCTAGGCCTGCGGTAGTTGCTGCAGTTTTTGTAGAGTTTCATTGAAAGAGATTATTGTTACAATGAAGATAAACAAAATTACTTATTACTTAAGAATCAAGATTAAGTTCTTGAAAATATATGAACATAGGTTCTGCTTCACAAGATTCATCTTCATTAAATCTATAACGACATTATTTGTAGTCTTTAGTGTATGTCACTGAACATTTTTTGATGTAAGTCAGCGGTCAGAGAACATTGTATCTGTGGTAAATTGGTTTTATTTTTGTAATTGTTTATTGCTATTTGTATGTATCCAATTTTCAAGCTTGCATCTGAAGCTGAAAACCCTGTACCGATGACAGATGAGGAAAAGACACGTGTCAACCAACTGTTGGAAGGCCTGGATGCTTTACCTGAAGTACTAGAAGAAGATGAATCAGTAGTGTGTATAAGTTAGAGTTATCTCCCTTCTTGTCTATAACCGGATGCATTCTCTCACCATAGCTTTGGTATACAGTAGAACAATTGGGGCAGTAGTGCTTTAGATCCCTAAAATAAGGTTTTGATGATTTTGTTTTGGTTTGAAACGACATTTTAAGTTGAGAGTGACCCAACCTGTGAAATTGCTTAAGATCAAGTGTCACAAGTCTCAAGATATTTTTTCACTTCTTCACAAAGCTTAATTTGTTCCCAGTTCTTATCATTTTTAAAATTTGGATTTGAATATATGAAAATCTTGTCTGGGGAAAATTAAGACTTTCATTGCTAGGTATTAGAGTCAGTGAACAGAGCTTACATAACTTTGATGATTTGATTCCAACAATCAAATGCTTTTCTTTTCCAGTCTGACTTCTCTGTTTCTAACCCATTTCAAATTGCTGTCAGACCTGGTGAAGGATTTCAACCAGAGCCTGATGATCAACGGTCTCTGTCCAACATTGACAGTAGACTTAGGACAATCCTGCCTCCAGAGGACTATGAATCGGTCACTAGTGCCTCTATATGTAGTACGCCACAGGTAAGGTAGCATGTTTTTTTGTTTTTTTTTATGATATTTTAGTTCATGAATAACTTGATGATGTGATGTTACCAATGATTTTTGATCTTGGTGTTGTTGAATCAAATTATATATTGATAATTGATGTTGCATTTCCAGGTAGTATATAGTGTCACATGCATATGTCATTTGTCATCCTATTTGAGTCTCCCACTGTGCACAGACATATAACACTTAAATACTGCTTTTTACTTTTATCATCTGAACATTTTAGGAAATGAACAAAGTTAATTCAGTTTTAAGATGCAAATTTTTTGGCCACCATCTGATCATTTGTTAACCTAATACTTTATTGGCTTGAAATGTCATTTTTTCATGTGAGGTAATTTGATGTTATGCATAAATGTTCATAAGAAGAAATTTCTAATGTTGTATTAAGTTTGACAGAAATTGGGGGGAAAAAAAGTTTTAATCAATTATATATAGTGGCTGTTGTTTTTTGTTTTTATCATTATATATTAGAATTTATCAGTTTCTTATTCATTTGTGGTTTGCACTTGTTAAAAAATATATAAATATTGTCATAATCATGCAATGTTTGTGATATTCAATTAGAAACTCACCTCTTTGTTATATGTATGGACTCTTTGTATGTTTTATAAGATAGTAGATGCTTGTTTATATTTGTACATTTGACAAGGACTACGTGTTTGTATGATCATTGTCACCAGTTGCCTCCTGTGTGGATATTGACACAGTAAACCTATATGTTGTTGTGGTCACAAGCTTAACTTGCATATGTCTTGCACTTTTTATTTTGTCCAGTACAAATTGTTTAAGCCGGTGGTTGATGTTAGGTCTGAACGATTCGGAGAGAAAGCTCTCCTGGATAACAAAGATCAAAGAGAGCTGCGTGCCCGTCTCCAGGCTGTGGAGGAGGAGCTAGGCAAACTCCATATGTCACATGAGCTGGAGGTAAACTGTGTGCAGTGCCTATCCTAGTATCCTTACAAGCATTTAATAACCTTAGTAATGGTCATATTATTATCCCTCACATTCACCAAAACGGGGGATATTAATTTGGGTTCATCCATCCGTCTGTCAGTCCGTCTATCTGTCACACTTTCGTTTCCGTGTTCTAACTTCCCCACATATCATCCAATTTGGTGAAACTTGGTCAGCAGATGCATCTTTGGGTCATTAAGACTGAGTTTGACTATCAGTACCATCTGTTAATGATTATGCATACTAATGAGGTATCCTTTGATTTCATTGATCGGTTCATTTCCGTGCTCTAACTTCCCTAAATATAATCTGATTTAGATGAAACTTGGTCAACAGATGCATATTAGGGCACATAAGTCTGAGTTCAGCAATCAGCATCATCTGTTAATATCTATGTATACCAATTAGGTATCGTTTCATTTCATTGGTTGGTCAGTTTTTGTGCTCTAACTTTCCTAAATATAATAACCTCTAAAATATTGACTTACAATATGTTTGGAAAGCGGGGGATATAAATTCCATGAGTTTGATTGTTTACGTTGAATTAATTAATGCGTGAATTTTTATGAAAGGGTATTGCAAGTACATTGTGATATTGGTTATATTAGTTTAATGATAAATAACATTTAGAAATCATTTTCTGTTTTTACTTTCATTTCTAAATGATATGATTTGATGTTTTATTGATGTTTGGGTATATGGTTTTACCATTTTGTACCTAAAACCATTTGATTGCACCTATCCTATCTATACCAATATTTAACAACTTCTTATCTACACAACTTGATTCATTACTATCCTGTTGATGTTTTTCTGATTTGTGATGAATATGTGAGTAGTTGAAACTTTAACGTGACCACTGGAGCAAGACAGACTTTTGACCCTTTAGTCTCTCAGCAGGTTTGAAAATATGTCATCACAGATATGATAACAACCGTCTCCATTACAAGTTGTAATGATGAACAATAAATTTGGAAAATCAGAACAATCTGATGAAGATTTCATTTCAAATGTTGATTGTAGCTGAAGGCATTCCCTTTAAAATGGACACAAATTACAAAAAAAGGGAGATATATTGGTTTATTCCTAAATTTCATCAGTAATCCTAAACATTTAAATTAGTAATGTGAAAATGGCAAAGCTCTGAACAATAGTTTGTGCCAATTAACAATAAAGATAATAATAACATGGTAAGGAATTCAGCCATGAAGGTCCTGAATGACATACTCACAATAATTTTCTTGTTCATTATTTCATTGTGAATGTTGTGTAAATATGACATACATTGGATCCTGTTGCTGTTTGTTTCATCAAAAGACTACCCCTGTGCTATATCTTTATTCTAACTTTATTGTTTGTAATTCTCTGCTTGCTTCAACAACAAACTTTTTTTTTAAATGTCATTCACATCTAAGCATGATGCACAGTGATGGAAAAGTTGTGACACACATTTTTACATAATGTGTTTTTTTATCGGAATTGCAATGTTTTCACTTGTTGTAACTTGTGTATACATTTTTCATTGAAGTATCATTAGTATAGCTGTTTGAGGCAAAGCACTGAAAGGACGGAAAAGAAAGCTATCAGCCTTATTGTGAATTTTTGTCAATTTAAGACACAAGTATCAGGGAGGGGAGAAGGGGCAAGCAGACCCACAATAATCATGATCTTTTTCCTCGTGTCTACAATATCAATGATTCACAGATATTTTTTATCCCATCACCCGTGCATTATTCACTAAAGGTTTGTCAGTACCCTACCTCCCCTCATTATCCTTGGATTATAATTGTTTAAATAACCTCCTTCCATACTTGGTATATCTCTCCTTTACTACTTAGTTATGCAGGTTTTTACAAAAGATGCCAAATATATATGCGACTTATGCCCATTTTCCCCATCATAAAGCTCTGGTACAGGTAATGAGAAAACATATTTTTTGAGACATCTATCTGATTGAGTTATTCCACTGTTACAGATCTCTGAGACCCCCAAGTTAGAAGAGGATCAGTTACAAGACTTATTAGACCAATGTGCTCGATCTTTGTCTAGAACAACTTATACTGGTACAAATTCTAGAACAACATTTAACGATGCAGATTCAGATGCAGGTGTCTCTGTGTCGGAGGCAGGGCTGTCAACTGAGACCACACCCAGGTAGGGTAGCAGTGGTTAAAGATAACCAGATTACCATATAAAAATGTTTAAGTGGATGACATCAACCCACTAACAGTGGTAAAATCAATTTATCATGAAAGAAAACTAGTAGCTCTGAATTATTAAAAAGACTTGATCATGCAATTTACCTGGTACATTTTAAGGTCATAGGTTATGTGTAGAGATATCAGTGTTACTTTAAGGAATAATCTTTCAAGGTCACATGGATCCTTTTTTTCTAAATGAAATCTTTCATTAACTCATAAATAACCACGGTGTCTGTCTGGTGCTGTTTAGCCATTATCAAGCTTGATTGGGATATTTGAGATTTTTTCAGTTGGCTGATCTTGACCCACTTTAAACATCACAAGTTTCAAATATATTGTACATTTTGAATAATCTTTTCTGAATCACCTAGGTTTTTCATATCTGGCTGATGGAATGAATTTGTGTAAATCATGATTGGTAGTTTGGTAGGTAGTACGATGTAGCTTCAATATCTTTCCAACAAAGAATATTTATATTGCAGTATAATTTGATTTCACTGTGATGTAAACTTTTAGGTAAAGATTGAGCCTCTTATTCTATGACACCCTGGTAGTACATTTTTTTCTGACTTTTCACTTGGGTCTGTCTCTCTTCCATGACTGAGTTTATGATAATGAATTTTGTTTGTTAGACTTGAACTCTTGTTCCATTTTCTTAGAAGTAGAAGTAAGGATATATGGCTCACAAACATTCCTTAATTTATGTAAAGATTGATTTCTAAAAATTAAACAAAAACTCAAAGGCAATTTATCGTTCAGTTTCAGTTTCAAAAAGGAATACTGCTTGACATATTTTTATTTGTTTGTTTATTTTTAGGACACCAAAGTCTGCCCGGGAGGTTTTAATGGAAAATCCACCACACTTACCTAAGGCCACCCTTCAGAAGTTGTTATCTGAAGCTTACTGTCCTGCAGCCAGCAGGCTATCTACACTTCGGGAAGAAGAGGAGGAAGCTGAAGCTGGAGGTCAGTACTGTAGATAATTCCCGCTGAAATTTGCAGACAGTCACCTCAATATTGCTGCGGTTTTTCAAGTCTCTTTATTTTGATGAGGAGGCTGATACCTCTATCTTGATCTTGATCTCAAATATAAACCTGTAGGTATCACACATAAGGTAAAGGACAATGTGAAGTTCTATTTGTAAAAAAGTGATTTACAGTAATGAAAACCATTTCACCTGTATTAGATAATCAAAGATATAATGAACTGTTTTCTTTTCTTGATAGCTGAGGACAATGAAATTGTACCTATCAGTGCTGAAACATGGCAGCTTATTGCTCAAGAAAGACTTGAAAATGAGGATGAGTCAGAGTATGTGGACCATTTAAATACAATTCGGTCAAGCTTACAATCCAGTTTATCTGTGTCAAAAAGTAGGACCAACAGTCGTAACATATACCATGAACATGATTCTTTATCCGGGGAGGTTCCCAGACATAGCAGAGGAGAAAGTCGTGAGTCACGGACACCCTTTTTACCTGAAATCAATCGTTCAGGAAGTTTGGTAGCCCAGGAAATGAACAATCACATCAATAATCGTCCTTCTAGTAACCTTAGTAACAGAAGCTCTGTATTAACAGTGCGTAACAGTTTTACTGATGTGAGTTCTGACTTCCAGGATGGTACAGAATTATTGTCTGTTAATGGTGATACACCTGTGCCAAACCCACCAGCTAGTGATCGCAGGTCTGGTAGAAGTAACAGGTTGAGGGTGAAATCCCCTCCCATTACCTAAGAGTCACACTAATGGTATGTTTTGTAGAACAGTTCTGTTGTCCTGCATTGGTCTTTTGTGATAGCATTGTGTTACCACTAGATACTGAGAAAGCTAACTAGTCATTGTTGTAATCATTTGGCTATAAAAACTACATACATCTTTGTTAGAAAAATGCAGGTGTCAAGACCATTATGTGTAACCTAAGAATATATTCTCATTATCTCCTATTCAACCAAACTTATACATCTATACTATCCTAACTTACTTTTTTAGCCCACCATTATCAGATGGTTTGCTATTCAAATCACTCTGCGTCTGTGGTCAGTTGTCCGTCCATCCATAAACAATTTTTGTTATTGCTATTTCTTGAGAAGTACTCGATGGATCTCTCTTATGTAGGTTCCCCTTGGTCTCTAGTTGTGCCCATGTAATTTTGGGACTGATGAGAAAATAATATGGCTGAAAGGCAGCCATTTTGGATTTTGACTTTGAAAGTTTGTTGTTGCTATTTCTTGAGAAGTGCTTGATGGATCTTTCTAAAATTTCAGATGTAGGTTCCTCTAGATTCCTAGTTGTGCCAATGTGATTTTGGGACTGATCAGAAAAACAAAATGGCCGACAGATGAACATCTTTGATTTTGACTTCGAAAGTTTGTGATCACTATTTCTTGAGAACTACTCTATAGATCTTTCTCAAATTTCTTGTATAGGTTCCTTTAGGTCCCTTGTTGTGCCTGTTTGAGTTTAGGACTGGTCATATACAGATATCTATATGGATATCTCAAATTTCATACGTATGTTCCTTTTCGTCTTTCCACGTGCTCGTTTGATTTTGGGATTGATCAGCAGAAACAAAATAGCTTCCGGGTGGACAGTTTGGATTTGGCAGGTAAAGATTATCAATAATTATTATATTATTATCATTCTGCAAAGGAATATTCAAATGTCTCATCATTAAGAACAAAAACGGAGAAGAGAAGAGAAAAGAAGGGAAAAGATCCAGCTTTCAAAGAGCATATAAAGATCAAACAATGGTGGGTGCCAAGATCCCTCTGGGATTTCTTGTATGAAACTGCATGCTAGTTAATAGAAATTTTGGTTTTGAATTCATTTACCAAGGTTGCCATGGCACAAGAATTTAAAGATATTGATAATGTGAAGAATTTCACATGAAATTAAAAGTTCACAAGCAACGATGGAAAAAGGAAGATTGATTACATGCAAGGGCCAGTGAATACAAAATTGTAAAAGGAAGTACCCACAATTCTTTCCAGCTGTACTAACTGTCCTGGATATTTATGCAGGGTTTTCAATAATTTTGTTAGTAGTAGGCTGTGTTGTGAAAGTAGGAGGCTGGCCTGCCGTGTACATGTAGTCGTGTACGGAACATTATTACGGAACTGGATTGGTGTAGGCGGCCAAATGATCAAGGTAGCCGGTCAAATTGGTCGGCGACCGGCTCTTATGGAAAACTCTGATTATGTAATCATATAGGAACAAGGGAGAGCAGGAAGGTAGGAGGGGTGCTCTCCCTTCATTTACATCACATTTGTAAACAATAATTTTAGACCTAATCACTGACATTTATGTTATCAGTGTCAGTTTGTACCTTATGTTCATATCCATATTATATTCACAACAGGAAAAGTTTGTTGACAGATCTGTCAAATGGTAAAACATTATCTGTGATGGGCTATTCCAGTAATAGCCCACACCAGGACTCTGTTTAGAGTTATCACCCATAGATTGTTTTTTGTTATTGATAATCTGCTTGAAAGTAATAGACAGAATACTGAACCGAGGATAAAAGTGATTTATTTTGGAGTACTGGTGTCAAGTAGATATTTGACTGGAATAGTCCTAAAGTATTTGTACAAGCCAGAATCACTTCCAATTATAACTCAGTGAAAACACTAACCTGCAGTACCTATAACTATGATCATTCCTTATCTAAGTATCTGTGATATAACTGTGATATGTAAATTGCACTGTGGAATACTGACTGTGTGTATGCACTACTTGACATTTTGCTTTATCTCACAAAGATTGAGTATTCAGTCCTGTTTAAATTATGTGTTTAAGTCCTCAATTTTTCAATTACTTGTGAATTACACTGAAGGCAAAGGTGTGGTTACAGAATACATAAGATGTACATGTGCCTTGAAACTAATTTTTTCACTGAATACTTCCCTTTCCTAGAAGTGTGACAATTAAATTCCATATTGACATTTTAGATGATAGTGATAGAAACAAGGATTTCAATCTTAAAGAGGTTCATAAATTTTCCATTTTAGCTTGCTTGGCTAAAATGCAATATATTCATCTGTAGAGGATTTTACACGAGTTTCCATTCATGCAAGGTTTATGAAATAAGTCTGAGGATTTTTCATTTTACTGCACATCATGAAAGGTGAAATGAAAAAGTTAGGGCGAGTTTATCAATCTCATTTAAAATAAGAACAAAATGTATGATTCTGTTTATTACATAACTTAAATTCTTTTGCCAATATTTGTGAAAACAGTGTTTTTCTACATGGATATATATAGCAATGTTCTAACTCTGTATCTTTTTATCAGGTGAGGTTACAAGGTGATGTGACTTGTATTTTTTTCTCGGGTGAGGTTACAAGGTGATGTGACTGACAGCTTATTACACAAAACATACTTTATACTGCTGCATTGGAATGCAATGTTGTTATCTGAAAGCAGTTCATTGGTTACTGGTGTAATAATAATTTTTAAAGATGTGTATGATGAGAGAACTTGCTTTTGATACTGTAACTGGTTAATCTGGAAAGTTGTTAGAGACTGTTCTAGATGATGGGTATGAGGTATGAGAGATCTTTGGGAGAGATAAGTTTTTTAAAGTGAGAAACATTTCTGATTTTGTGAGACTACAAACTTGCTTGTTTGATATAAGTTAAAATATTTGTATAGGAATACTTTCAAACTGATTGACACCAAGAACACCAGCATTCCCCCCCCCCCCCCCCCCCCCCCCCCCCCCCCCCCCCCCCCCCCCCCCCCCCCCCCCCCCCCCCCCCCCCCCCCCCCCCCCCCCCCAACACAAATATTTCTTGTTTTAATATATCTAGAAGTCAAATCATCAAAGTAAAATGTATTCAAAGATCAGTAATATTTGAATTATATGTTTTATGATTCCAATTGATGGTCATTGATATTTGTCTTTGTCATTGGGTTCTGTGGTATATATCACAGAAAATTTCTTTTAGTATAAACATTTACTAAAAACTTAGATTCAATTGAATGTTTAAAATATTATTTATATGAAATAAAGTCCATATATGAACAAAAAACCAATTTAGAGATAAATAGATTTTTAAAGTTTGTGAGAGAATGTGATTAGAATATGTGTACAAGGAATGTTGTCACCAAAAGGTCTTATTTATGTATGATTGCATCTTTGCTTTGATCATATGTTGAACACTGTATGAAATGTATTATTAAATTATTCTTAAATTTGAGAAAAAAAGTTTCTTTTGTTTTATTACAGATATCATAATGTGCAGATATTTTACAGACACTGCAGGTTGTCCATGTAAAACACATTTTGATAAATTATATGTAAATGTTGAAATCTTGATTGACATATAAGTCAGTGTCAAACAATGTTACATTGACTCATCAGTTGGTGCCAAACATTCTATTGAACACAACCTCAATATAGACTTGTATTTCAGTGTCCAGATTGAATTGTTAGCTTACCTGCTGAAAGGACAAGTGAGTTTAAGCTGTAATGATGCATCTGTCATCAATTTGAACAAATTTTCAATAGCCAAGAGGTCCAGGACACTGATACATATGTAGCATACTGGAATGGAGGACTTTCAAATCTGTTCAAAGAAATTACCTTGACACACATCAGGAGTCAAATGTGTGAAGATCTTTAAACAACTTCATGTCAATATCCAAGAGCCCCAGGGTACTGTTATCTAGTGTGGTGCATGCTGGTTAGAACGATTGTGTTCTCATGAATGATGTGTGCCCACAAAATCTTAAAACAACAACTCAATATCTACAACTCAACTGGCATTTGTCCCATAGTAAGCTATAATGGGCTAAAAAATTTGTTCAAATGAGGAATGACCTTGACCCACATTCAAGGTTCTGGTTAAAAGATCAGGTATATGAAAAATGTTGGTGACTGAAAATGTAATTATCTCTTCCAAATTTGAAGACAACTTCATGCAACACCATGGCCATTTTTATAACCATGTAAAGCCGAATATTCAAGTAAAATGTTATATATTATAGGTATATTAGATTGTCCGTCACATTTCATCAAATGCCGGTCTCAACGGAGACTAAGACTTTTCCTATAGTTTATGTCAAAGAATTGTTAGGATCACATACAGCAGCTTTGGTTTCACTGGTAAATAATGACAAGAATCCTAACTGGAAGAGAGCATACAAGGCATATCGATATTTGATATTGAAAAAAGAGCTAGTCTCGTCAATACAAATCCATAAACATGGGCCGCGATCTAATCAACTGTGGAAATGAAAAGTACTAAAACGATTTGAACAAAATGCCCTTATTAAGTTGTAAATTCTTTGGTACGTATATCACAGTACCGTCTTTTTATTCTGCTTTTCATGTGAAGCAGTTTTCCTAAAAGTAACAATTACTTGGAGTAACTGGAAACCGCAATAAATGATCGAGAACGTACCCTTAACAGTCAGAGTATGACTCGTCCAATCAAAATCCAGCTTATATTCGATTTCGGAAGCTCTACTATTCCTCAGATACCGCAAAGGTGAAGGACGACCGATCCGTCAAAAGTGCGTCTGCAGTAGAATCTGGTATGTTGTTTGGAAGACCAATTACAATGAATTACATACTCTCTTCCGTTCCGTTCTCTTCTGTTCTGATAATTTCTTCTTTATAGAACCTCCTCTAAGAATGAAGCTAGTATTTCCTATGCAGAAGGATTTTTAGATGTGATAAATCTGGAGTGTATCAAATCACCACCTGACCATACGTTTTATAGGCATATAAATCAATAAAGGCATGGGCACCGTGTATCGTTCTTAAGGTATAAGTATTTATCACTAATTTCATGATAAGACATTGTGACCTGACACCCCATTACGTATATTCCGAAGGGTTCTGTCTAACTGGGTCCTGTATTCCCTAATTTCGGTATATTTTTCAATAGGGAAAACTTTATATCGTACGTTCATCGATTTTACTAAAGCATTCGATTCTGTGTGTAGAGTCGGTCTGTGGAAAAAACTTCGTAAAAGGAAAATCACGGGGAAAAGTTATTTTTAAGCTATACGGTAATACCAAACCACGTGTTAAAAATGGATGTGAACAGTCGGATATGTTCGATTGTGAGATGAAAGTAAAAGGGGCTAAAGGTTAGCGTCATTTTTGTTTGCAATTTATTTAAATGATTTAGAAACGTTTCTTGGTAAGAAAAATGTAGCATTAGACGAATTTGAACATGCATAAGAACTCCCATTTTCCTTGTGTATTTTATTTATTTAAACTGTAGCTTTTTTAAAGCAAGGAGAAAGGTTGTTGAACAAGCACAGAAATCGGTTTTTGCAGTCTTATAAGAAATTAAGAAACACATCACTACCAGTTGATTTACAGTTGAAAATATTTGATTCAGTAATCATGCCAGTTCTCCTGTATTCATCAAAAATTTGGGGGGTTTGAAAATATAAATATTATAGAAAAAATCCATGCGCAAATTTTTAAAAATATACTTAACATAAGTAAAAACACAGCTGATTTCTTTGTTCATGGTGAACTGGGATTACTGCCATTAAGTTATCAAGTATTATCTATAAGTTAATGTATACGTTACAAAAAATGGAACCATATCATGTAAATAGCTCACAAATTCTGTTCCTAACTGGCCTGAATTATGTCAGGTACTATCAATCTACATGTTCCTTTTCTATAAATGAAATTAAGATATTAGTGAAAAAATAGACTAAAGGATCAATATATACAGATATGGTTCGATGATGACCATATCTCATCTAAAGGGCAGTCACATTTCATTTTTTTAAGACAAAATTTGCACAAGAAAAGTATTTTAATAAGTTAAATACTTAAGATAGGGAAATTATGTGCAAGTTTCGTTTTTCAAATATGCATTTACCTGTAGAAACAGGGAAATGGTTAGGTATTCCTTGACAAGAGAGAACCTGTACTTTATGTAATTCCGACATTGGAGATGAATTTCACTATTTAATTGCCAAAATGAATCGGTAAAACGTTTAAGAGAGAAATATATACCAAAATATTCTTTCACTTATCAAGTCAAATTAAAATGCAACGTTTGTTTGATATATTCAATGTAAAAACCTTCACAAAATTTTTTAGATTTATAGAAAAAGTTGATGAATTATTGAGTTAATTTCTTTACCCGGTTGTGCTCTCTTCTCTTTGTAATTATGTAAAAGTGATTATCATTATTTACAGAAAATGTTGTAATTTTGTACTTATTATCACATGCCATGTATCATATTAATTATATGTATGTGACCTCTTGTTACACATATAAGTGTGTCAGAGTGATTGAATAAAACCTTGAAACCTTTAAGCTAAAACAGCGGATATATATAGTCAGAACCCCCATTGGGACTAAGAAATAGGTTAACATGCCAGATTAAGGCTGATAGTACAGAGATATAAAAGAGACCTTCCTGAGACAAGGATGTATATTAAAGATCAGCATTGATTATGCCTCCCTGTCTGAAATCGTCATGGTTGTTGATAGAGTGTTGGACAATATGAAATCAAACTAAATCAAATAAATCCACTAACACATGTTGATAGACTGACAGAGAAGTTTTTGATATCTCGATTCTGACTAATATATATGTGTTGGGGAAATGCTATAATGCTTAATGGATTTTCTAGCACACATAATCAAAAGGACCAACATGTGATCAGTTGATATGATTATACTGATGTGATGGCACAGCCACTGCATCCCTTGTTAATCTATCTGTCTGTACACTTCAGTTATAACTTGTCGAGAAAAATCTTTAAAACACTACTAAATTTTACATAGAGCATTCTTGACTAAAGATGGCTCATTTATATATGCCTGTAAAAAGATTTGAAAAGTAGTTTGATTACATTGCATATGGAAGAGTAACTTCCCCTGATGATTTTCAAATGTTGTTATTGACTGGAGAGCTCTCACTGGTTTCGTTTGATTTCTTTTAAATCAGGATGATTAATCACTTTGACAAGAAGTTGCGATGATCAATGTTCTACACACTACTAATCACTGGAACTTCTACACACTACTAATCACTGGAACACACTACTAATCACTGGAACTTCTACACACTACTAATCACTGGAACACACTATTAATCACTGGAACACACTACTAATCACTGGAACACACTACTAATCACTGGAACACACTACTAATCACTGGAACACACTATTAATCACTGGAACACACTACTAATCACTGGAACACACTACTAATCACTGGAACACACTACTAATCACTGGAACTTCTACACACTACTAATCACTGGAACACACTATTAATCACTGGAACACACTACTAATCACTGGAACACACTACTAATCACTGGAACACACTACTAATCACTGGAACACACTATTAATCACTGGAACACACTACTAATCACTGGAACACACTACTAATCACTGGAACACACTACTAATCACTGGAACTTCTACACACTACTAATCACTGGAACACACTATTAATCACTGGAACACACTATTAATCGCAGGAACACACTACTAATCACTGGAACACACTACTAATCACTGGAACACACTACTAATCACTAAAACACACTACTAATCACTGGAACTTCTACACCCTACTAATTGCAAATTTCATATGCAGTTTCCCCTTGGTCCCTAGTTGTGCATTGTACCTTTTTTGGACTGATTCAAATTCAAGATGGCCGACAGGTGGCCATCTTGGATTTTGGAAGTAAAAGTTTGTTACCGCTTATTCTTGGAAAGTACTGGATGGATCTTTCTCAAATTTCATATGCAGTTTCCCCTTGGTCCCTAGTTGTGCATTATACCTTTTTTGGACTGATCCGAATTCTGACTAATATATATGTGTTGGGGAAATGCTATAATGCTTAATGGATTTTCTAGCACACATAATCAAAAGGACCAACATGTGATCAGTTGATATGATTATACTGATGTGATGGCACAGCCACTGCATCCCTTGTTAATCTATCTGTCTGTACACTTCAGTTATAACTTGTCGAGAAAAATCTTTAAAACACTACTAAATTTTACATAGAGCATTCTTGACTAAAGATGGCTCATTTATATATGCCTGTAAAAAGATTTGAAAAGTAGTTTGATTACATTGCATATGGAAGAGTAACTTCCCCTGATGATTTTCAAATGTTGTTATTGACTGGAGAGCTCTCACTGGTTTCGTTTGATTTCTTTTAAATCAGGATGATTAATCACTTTGACAAGAAGTTGCGATGATCAATGTTCTACACACTACTAATCACTGGAACTTCTACACACTACTAATCACTGGAACACACTACTAATCACTAAAACACACTACTAATCACTGGAACTTCTACACCCTACTAATTGCAAATTTCATATGCAGTTTCCCCTTGGTCCCTAGTTGTGCATTGTACCTTTTTTGGACTGATTCAAATTCAAGATGGCCGACAGGTGGCCATCTTGGATTTTGGAAGTAAAAGTTTGTTACCGCTTATTCTTGGAAAGTACTGGATGGATCTTTCTCAAATTTCATATGCAGTTTCCCCTTGGTCCCTAGTTGTGCATTATACCTTTTTTGGACTGATCCGAATTCAAGATGGCCAACAGGTGGCCATCTTGGATTTTGGAAGTAAAAGTTTGTTACCGCTATTTCTTGGAAAGTACTGGATGGATCTTTCTCAAAGTTCATATGCAGGTTCCCCTTGGTGCCTAGTTGTGCATTGTATCTTTTTTGGACTGATTTGAATTCAAGATGGCTGATAGGTGGCCATCTTGGATTTTGGAAGTAAAAGTTTGTTACCACTATTTCTTGGAAAGTACTAGATGGATCTTTCTTAAATTTCATATGCAGGTTCCCTTTGGTTCCTAGTTGTGCATTATACCTTTTTTGGACTGATCCAAAATCAAGATGGCTGACAGGCAGCCATCTTGGATTTTGAGAGTAAAATCTTGTTACTGAAATATCTGAGGAAGTACTGGATTGATCCTTCTGATATTTCATAGATATTGGTTTCCCTTGGTCCCTAGTTGTGCATTGTACCTTTTTGGACTGATTCGAATTCAAGATGGCCGACAGGTGGCCATCTCGGAATTTGGATGTAAAAGTTTGTTACTGCTCTTTCTTGGAAAGTACTGGATGGATCTTTCTCAAATTTCATATGCAGGTTCCCTTTGGTTCCTAGTTGTGCATTATACCTTTTTGGACTGATCCGAATTCAAGATGGCTGACAGGCAGCCATCTTGGATTTTGAGAGTAAAATCTTGTTACTGCTATATCTGAGGAAGTACTGGATGGATCCTTCTGATATTTCATAGATATTGGTTTCTCTTGGTCCCTAGTTGTGCATTGTACCTTTTTTGGACTGATTTGAAATCAAGGTGGCCCACAGGCAGCCATCTTGGATGTCGACAGTAACTGACTGCTATCTAATAATACTTTGGGATCTTTTTCAAATGATATTTGCTAATAGGTGCTTAATAAAGATATCTTGTGCCATCATTGAGTACATTTACAACACCTGTAACAAATAAAAAAAAACCAAATCTTCAAGAACTGAAAACAGACCTCAAATGGTGGGTGCCAAGATCCCTCTGGGATCTCTTGTTTTTTAATTTTTTAATTTTTTTGTTTCATTTATTCATTTACTTTTGTAATTTTTTATTTGCTATATTTTGTACAATACAATGTACAAAAGGCAACCGAGATTGTTCATCCACTTAAGCTTACCACACATCCCTACATACCCATTTTACAGTTAGTTACAATTCCACCTGTGAATATGTTGTTTTCATAATTCCTCATGTACAAATTACCTCCTCTGCCTATACTTACTTCCACATGTGATGTACAAAATGTATGCATCAGTTTATGTTCATGCAACCATACACAAACCTATCCACATACCAGAAAAAAGAATGAAACCAACTTACAGTGAATTGTGTTCACATACTGATAATTAATGTGTCTCAAAAGATACAACACATATATCCATCTTCTTATAGGCGAGGTATTTATGATAGCATTAGAAAAATATACATGTATCACACAGACTTTCCTGTATGTGTAAACAGAAATTATCAACTAAACCCCTGTAAAAAGCACCTGCACAGTTGATAACATTTCAACACTTTCATGCTCACGTAGATTGTCCATGAACATACATATATCCATATGTATAGTACTTGATATAATGAGACATTCTTGTATATATACTGTATATTTGACTTTGTTATGTGTCAGGTTGTAGGGGTGTAGGATAGGGATATTCCACCTGAGATGTCACAAAATGTACCTGTGGCAATGTCGATAGTTTTAACACATTTTGTATCCTCCAGAGTGAAATGACCCATCCTTCACCCTCACATATGAAAGAGTATTTTTCTCTCATTCTGAAATATTGGATAAAATTTAATTCATATGTCAACAACATACTACAAAGGAAACAATATTACTTAAAAATCATACTTTATATTATGCAATGAATTGACAAATTGACACAAAATTAATTATCCGTACCTAGATTTGGCTAACAAAGTTTACCCTAGAAACTTAAGAAATAAACTATTTGTTCAAGTATCAGGTGATGACGTCAATTGGGAAGGAACACATCACATTTCTATTTGCATGTGCCTGTATTGTATGGATAGTGTGTAATACAAGGACAGTGGACCTGAGTGTATTGCCCTAGAAAGACCAGCACTACACTGGTAGTAATGAGAGGATAAATTAATCAGTCTCATGAGTAAAGACAAACAAAAATAAAAAGAAAGTAATTGTTAGGAAATTGTTCATTCTACATAGACCTAGCCTACATACCGTGTAGATTGTATGAATTTTACATGAGAGAATATCTGTAAGATACAGGGGGAAAACAAAGAGAAATAGAAAAGGCAGATGAAAGATGTCAGAGACAATTGCATATACTGAAGTATGTTTTATTCTAAATATTTCAATATATCGGCTTTGTGAAGGACTAGCAGATTCTATACAAATAACAAAAAGCGAATAAAAAATTGAGACTCATTTGTGTTAAAGTAAACCCTGTAATTTAATTAACCTGTCCCATTTGTTCTAGTCATTTTCATCTTAACCATTAGATTGTGTTTCTGAATCACATTGTCTTTAACTATGCTGACAAGAGCTTTTATATTTCATGACTTATGTAAGCATCTCATTCTGTAAATATATATTGCTTTAAGATAATGATATTTTGTTGTCTACTCGATCGCTGAGATGCAGGCCGAAGAGAAAAGATTTTTCATTTGCTGAATATGGAATTAACATGACTTAATTCTCATAAAGTACTGGAGAAAAAGCTTTCTTAGTTTTGATACACTTTGGTCTCTTGTTGTGTTCGTTTGAGTTTGGGACTGATCAGAAAAAACAAAATAAACAACAAGATTTGGCAGTTTGAGATTATTTTCGCTATTTCTTAGAGGAATTTTCAAATTTCATATAAGTGAGGATCAGTACATGATGTTCAATGTTGTGAAATGTTGACTGGTTATATATATGTGTGTTGGTAGTACAGGTGATAATTACTCGGTCACAACCTGCCGTCATGGTACATCAAACTCTATTTCACATACAATTCTGATCAACTACAGGTAAGTATGTTGTGGTCATGGAAAAGATCATTTTCTATTTGGTAGAGGCTCAAATATTTATGAGGACTGATGTCAAGCCATGTAATATTGTAAGACTGAAATGAAGATAGAAAATCAATCGCCTTAGATTAAACTTAAAATTCTTAGCAGTTATACTGATCTCTAATCAACTTGCCTGACAAAACCAGGTCCTGATGTATGTGTGACAGATATCACTGGAACTACCCAACACCTAATGTACAGGTAACCATTATAGATACATTCATAACTTTTCCTTCTGATTTCATATGGTTTCCTTTCATTTTGTAGTGTGAGCTGAAGCTGATGGGTCTACAAGGAAAAATATCTTGATCTTTAATATGAGAATTGATGATGAATCTGAACATGCAGTCATTATTCTCAGAAGAGATGGAAATCAGAACAGATGAAGAAAGCAGTTTTGTATGCAGATCCTCCTCTGCACATGTCTTGCAACCTTTGGTGAAAACTCCAGATGATAGTTTGTTAACTCGATCTACAGATTCAGTCATGAAAAATGATGGTTCTCAAACAACAGCAAATGGAAGGCAACAAAAGTTAAGTAACAGCAAAGGACTTGTGTTTAAACAGTTTGAAAACCAAGGACAGAATTTGAATTCTGGATCTACACATTCAGGGAGAAATGGTTCTCAGCCAGGAACAAGTGAAGATCAACAAAAAATTAGCAAGGTGGTGAAATCTGGTGAGTTTTTAGGTAATCTGATTCAAAGATAAACAAACATTCTGAATTATTTGGTCTTTACTCCCCAGGGGCCTGAGGGTTGGGACAAAAAGTCTCAAATTGACTCAAATTTCTAAAAACTTTTTAACACCTAGATATGATAGAATCAATGCTCTTCATGGATGGGAGTGTTTTAAGTTGCTTAACCAAATTTGTTAATTTCATGACCCTAGGGTCTCAAACTTCCTGCTAGGGAGGGTTTAAGTTTACTATAGTGTAAATAAAGGAAAATTATTATCTCACCTGGTTGGAATGGCTAAGTGAGCTATAAGGATACTCGGGCATCTGGCGTTTTTCCAGCGTGTCAACTTTTCCTATAAATTGCTACTAGTTATGAAAGACTGAGTGCATTTTAACCAAATTAGGTCTGAAGTGTCCAAGGGGGCAGGCAACTAATTTTGAATGATTGATGGGTGAAGCCTCCCTGGGGCCAGACGAGGGGGAGCCCAAAAGGGCAAATTTTGCAATTTCTTTTAAATGTTACTCCATCTGCAGGAATGATTGGATTTTATTTGTGTTGGGTATCAGTATACCTGCAAAAATGCTTGTCTAGCTCATTAAAGAAAGAAATAGGGAACATTTCAAGAAAAACATATATGCTCATCACAGACAGATATATAAGTCTATATGTAAATTTATCATGCATGTACTGGTATTTCTCACCTGAAAATCTCAAATTTTTCCTTACGCAATGATTAGGGTTAGCGAAGGGGAATCTTGTTTGTATAAACAGTGATATAAGCCCCCTGGGGCAGGAGGGGAGGGGCTCAATAGGGGAAATAGGGCAAAGTCTTTAGAATCCTACTCCTTGTGAAGGAACAGGTCTCATTATAATCTGTTCTACTATAGTACCTGTGTAGTACAGGTAAATTATTTATCTGTATTTACCTGTTCACCAATAGGCAATATTGTGTAAGTTAAGTAATATTTAACAAGTGTACTTTCCTAATTTAAAAAAAAAATAATTGGAATTATGAGTAAAAATATAATCAAGATTTCCATTGTCATCTTATTAAAAAAAACATGATGTATATTGATTAAAAATTTTATTTTTATTAACTAGATATTTTACAAATTTACTTCTGTTTTATTATACATTAATAAAGGTTAATAATCTAGGCTGATGAGAGTGAAGATTATGCATCCCAGTAATAATTGAGCATGTGCACCATCACAAGCAAAAATTTGACAGCCCTTTTCCCCGAAAATGAAATCTATATTATACTGTTATAGTTGCTAGTGTCTTGAAATTGAAGGCATAAGAAGTATGGGTATGGATTTAAAAACAAAAATGTATATATTCACTGGTTTTGGTGCATATATACACATTTGTGGTAGGAAGGAGTAAGTTAAAACACTCACATTCATACTGGAATCTCACTTACATCACCAGCATGACAGATAACTAGAGAACAAAATGCTACTACCATATTCCTTGTCATTGAACACTATTTCATTGATTAAAATAAGTAAAACCAAAGTGTCTGTGATGAATAGGGAGAATTTCAAAATGTGCATCTTACAGTTTTTTATTGCCTTTCCATGCTGTTAACACTTCCTTCATTCCCTGATATCAATCCATCAGACTAAGGGTCCATGCCTTTGGCGCTTAAATTTCTTTAAATTTTGTTATGTGTTACGTTTCATTGAAGCCTGGGAGTGTAGGAGGACTTGTATGGACAGATGGATGATTTCAGTATTCTCTACTTTGCTTTGTTGCTTGGGGTATGATTAAGTGTTAGGTTGGCCATTTTTTATTCTGAATCCCTGTTTTTTGAGAACTTAAGAATAAATCATTCTTAAATTTCATTGATAAATTCTCCTTGGTTTCTGGTTGTGCGTTGTCCATTTGGTACTGATGGATGAAACAAAATGAAACCTTGGATGATAACAGTGATATATATTTTGCTTGATCCTTGTGTGTGAGTTGTCTGTTTTTTAACCGATTAAAGTCAAGGTCATTATTATTAATTTGAGAAAATTTTTAATCATGGTTTAATTAAGTCCAAATTTCATTATCTCATAAATAATCATAACAACATGGATGGTGGAGTTTGAGTTTCAGTGTTAAAGGGTCAAGGTCAAGTAATTCTGGAGGAGTTTTAGTCCCCTATTAGTGAAACTCCGTTGTGGGATGAAGAGGGGGGAGGGATGTTATAGTTTTTTTCTCTATCCTGTTGATCTATCCATCCATCCTTCCATTCCTCCATCTGCCCTGTATCTGACAAAGTTTGCCAACTCACAACGGATCGTGTTTCAGGGTTGTTGGGTCAAGGTCCTATTTACAGAAAATCTTTAACAACACTGTAGTTTGATCCATTGATGGATGTGTTCGTAAATACTTTGTACATCATGCCTTACCAATTATACAGTAAACACAAATTGTATCATAAAAAGTTTATTTTTAGCCTGTCCTCTGATATTTGATTTTAAAAGGCGTATGCCTTCAACTGCATCACTCTTTGTTCATTCATCATCTGTCTCCCCGATCAATTTTGTTGTCATAGAAGATGGTAATTGTAACTGCTTTAAAAAGATTTGATAATGAAGGTTCTTCTTTTGTGATTTACCTTTGAAACAAACAAGGTATTTTTTGATGAATTAGAATTTCATGATTTATATGTAGAATCACATCTTATACAAGTATGTCTCATTATTTCATGAATTAAATTTGCATAATCACATCAATGTTACGCGAAATAGCAAAAAAATATCGTCCCCCATGACAACAATCAGCTATACAGTCAGCAAAATAAGGAACAAGTGGCCATCTTTCATGTTTTATTGAAAAATTTAAAATAACTCTTCCACGTTGGGATTTGAGAAAAATCTTCAAAATCATCACAGTGAAAAACGTTCATGATACGTTCTGGCTGTCACAAGTTCAGAGTGAAAGACTGGTAGTATAGGGACATAAAATTGGTGGAACTGATAAAGATAGTAAACCTTCTGGTCTATTTCATATACTGTTTTTCTATCTGTATGACCTAAATTAGTACTTCCACATCTCTATCCTGTAATACCCGGGGGGTAAGTCTATCACAAAAAGCCCATGTATTTGTGGTAACGTGTTCACCACAAGGCTTTTATTGGGGGATAAATATGGTAAATGGAATACATTTGCAATAAAAATGGTACATTTATCACAGTTTAAAGAATTGGTTGGTTGGTTGTTTCCAGGCTTTGCGTGACTCTCTCCGTTACTAGATGTCATCTTACCAAGGAACATCAGGTTATAGAAGTGATCGCCTTGTTTTATGGGGATATGTATCTAGTCCTTACTCCTGGTACCTCTTTCAGAAATAGTGATTTTGTATTCTTTTGATGCTGGAACAAACTTGACCTCAGGATGCAGTACCAAAGCATGTAACTGTGTGGGAGACTGTTTAAAGGCTGACCAGACTGGGAAGGAAGATTCTTATATGTTCATTCATTGTCTTCCTAAACCTGTAGGATTTTTTTTACCATGGTGACAAGATTTTCACCAGATGTTTCAGGTGGTCAATTACAGTTTGACAAATCTTAACTGGTATCATTTACATTGCCTTAACACATAAGCCTCTGCTTGGACTTAATAGAATAGACTTACAGTGTCCTTTTTTGTTTGGAATTCATTATGCTATCAATTGACAGTAGTTCAATTTCTTTTTCTGGAAGGTCTTCAAAAACATTTTTATCAAGAATGTTATAAGATGCAATTAATCTAAAAAAATGTTAAAAATAGGAGTTGATTAGTCTTCAAATTGGTGTTTAGGCATCTGTAAGTCTGCTGAGATTTTATCTCCGTGCCTGATGCTAGTGGTAACCATGGAGATGTAATGCTGTTGTGTAGGATATGATTTATCGTGATACTAGAATCAGATCAATGTTTATGTAATTACAAGTCGGACTTTTCTTTCTACAAGTCAGCATTCCCAAACATTGTTACAGTAGCACTGGCATCAGGTAGGTGACTTCATGATCAGAAACATGTACAGCAGTATATGGGTTTGTAGGCTCCATGTGTTAGGTAATGATTATCAGAAACATGTACAGCAGTATATGGGTTTGTAGGCTCCATGTGTTAGGTAATGATTATCAGAAACATGTACAGCAGTATATGGGTTTGTAGGCTCCATGTGTTAGGTAATGATTATCAGAAACATGTACAGCAGTATATGGGTTTGTAGGCTCCATGTGTTAGGTAATGATTATCAGAAACATGTACAGCAGTATATGGGTTTGTAGGCTCCATGTGTTAGGTAATGATTATCAGAAACATGTACAGCAGTATATGGGTTTGTAGGCTCCATGTGTTAGGTAATGATTATCAGAAACATGTACAGCAGTATATGGGTTTGTAGGCTCCATGTGTTAGGTAATGATTATCAGAAACATGTACAGCAGTATATGGGTTTGTAGGCTCCATGCGTTAGGTAATGATTATCAGAAACATGTACAGCAGTATATGGGTTTGTAGGCTCCATGTGTTAGGTAATGATTATCAGAAACATGTACAGCAGTATATGGGTTTGTATTCTCCATGTGTTAGGTAATGATTATCAGAAACATGTACAGCAGTATATGGGTTTGTAGGCTCCATATATAAGGTAATGATTATCAGAAACATGTACAGCAGTATATGGGTTTGTAGGCTCCATATATAAGGTAATGATTATCAGAAACATGTACAGCAGTATATGGGTTTGTAGGCTCCATATATAAGGTAATGATTATCAGAAACATGTACAGCAGTATATGGGTTTGTAGGCTCCATGTGTTAGGTAATGATTATCAGAAACATGTACAGCAGTATATGGGTTTGTAGGCTCCATATATAAGGTAATGATTATCAGAAACATGTACAGCAGTATATGGGTTTGTAGGCTCCATGCATTAGGTAATGATTATCAGAAACATGTACAGCAGTATATGGGTTTGTAGGCTCCATGTGTTAGGTAATGATTATCAGAAACATGTAC